AGAAGACATAAATTGGGTGTCAACCTACTTTATATACAGAGATATGAAAAATTGTGCTCTATATGTGTAATAAGAGTTGTAATGCATTCCACTGTTGTGTATTTAAAAAAAATAAAACCAATTAAATAATAGTCCCCCTAAGAAAGCCACGCGTGGGTACAGCCACATATTCACGAAGTCACTTTTGGTTAGCATCTCAGGGAGTGACAACTGCAGTCGCCTGCCTGCCCTGGCTCCACACCGAAGACCCGAGGCAGGGCTCTGCTATCAATATGCTCCCAAGCAGGCGGCTCTCTCCTGGGCTTTTTTTTTTTTAATATTTATTTTTAAGTTTTAGGTGGACACAATATCTTTATTTTACATTTATGTGGTGATGAGGATGGAACCCAGTGCCTCATGCATGCTAGGCAAGCACTCTACCTCTGAGCCACAACCCAGCCCCATCTCCTGGGCTTTAATCTAACCCCTCCCCACCTTCCTCCAGGCTGCAGGAGTTAGGTGAGTGATGCAAGATCTTGTCTGTATTTAAAATGTTGATTTTTGTTTATCATGGCTTTTTGCATTACTTTTGATTTTCAGAAAATTTGTATTAATTACTGTTTATGTAAGAACTGAAACGATGAAATTATTAGAAAATATAGGCAAGATCTTCATGACCTTGGATTTGGCAATGGATTCTTACCTATAACACAAAAGAACCACTACCCAGAACAAAATAAATTGGACTTCATCAAATTAAAAACTTTTTTGCTCAAAGGACACTATTGAGAAAGAAAAAGGACAAACTACAGAATGGGAGAAGATATTTACAAATCATATATTGGATAAGTCTAGTATCCAGAATATACTAAGAATTCTTACAACCCAATAGCAAAATAACAAATAGCCCAATTAGAACAGGCAAAGGATATTTTTTAAATGTTTTTTTTAGTTGTTGATATACTTTTATTTATTTATATGTGGTGCTGAGAATCGAACCCAGTGCCTCACACATGCCAGGCAAGTGCGCTACCGCTGAGCCCAGCCTCAGCCTTGGGTAAATGGACGTTCTCCAAAGAAGATGCAGACTTTGCAAGCTTGACAATTCAGAAGCACCCTTCATGCAGTTGCTAGCTGAAAGAAGCCAGGTACAAAAGGTCATAGACTGAGTGGTTGCAAGTGCACAACAGGCAATCCTCAGAGACAGATGTAGATTGTTGGTGGCCAGGGGCTTGGGGAGGTGGTCTGCTAATGGTCATGGAGTTTTCTTTGGGGGTGATGAAAATGTTTTGGAACTAGATAGAGATGATGGTTGAAAACATTGCAAATATACTTAATATCACTGAATTCTACACTTTGGAATGGTTAATTTTATGGGCACATTTCTTCAATGAAATATTATCTTAATTATGTTTTGGTTGTCCTTGCCCCTTAAATTTTGCACTTGAGTTGATGCTTGAGGCTCCTCACCATTCCTTCCTCCCAGCTCACTGTAAATCGTTTATCACTTTGGAGAAGAGTATGCTGCATTTGGGTGGTACAAATGAAGGTGCTCAGACCCCCAGATCTTCAATATTCCACTCTGAATGACCAGGAGCCCCCCAAAAGGCCAAAAGCAAAACTCTGGGTGGCCAGAGATGAGCTGGATCACCCTTGCAGGTACCATGTCCAGGGTGCCAAGGGCAGAGGCTGAAGAGGCAGCGGGGAGGGTATCTTTGGAGACCATTGAAGGTGCCAGGTACCATATACATTTTCCCTCTCCTTCCCCTCATCCCAGCCCAGTGGTAGGACCTTCCTGAGACCCCTCAACCTGCCTCCCTGGAGAGCCTGGGGCCCAGAAGCTGGTGTCCACTGGTAACAGTGGCTTTGAGGGACAAGCAGAAGCAGGGGCTGTGGGACTGGAGTGGGGAGGAGGCTACAATCCCAGGAAATTCTGGTAGAGCGAAGGGTGCCGGTATTTCCTTGGGCCTTAGCATGGGCCTACAGGGAAAGCAGGTCTTGACCCAAGAGGGTCATCTGGAGGGGTGGTAGGCTTGTACAGGGTGACCCAAAAAATCTGCACACCCAGGATCAAAGGATATTAGGAGAGGCCCTGCCTAATGGAGGGACCATTGGTAAGAGACCTTCACAAGAGCTCACTGCATCCTCCAAGGAAAAGTCAACTTTGATGCCATCAGTCACACAGGTACCACCAACTAGGCCCTTTTTCTGCTTGCTCTCTCTCTCTTCCCCTTTCAATTCTACTTAGGGGTGAGAGATGACCTGGGGAGAAGACAAAGACCAGAGCTTGGACTGGGAGAAGTTAATGTAGAATGAAGTCAGGTCTATTACATGGGCCTGGATAGGTTAATTATAGAAAAGTAACTTTTCATTGAAGCTAATGGTGAACAGAACACTTTTTATCCAAGGGGTGGGAAAGAACTGGCCTCCTACAGTGAGACTGAATGAGCTGGGGGTAGGGAGAGGAGATATAAATTCTTTTTCTTAAAATTGGAGTTCTGCTTAGCCAACATGCTAGTTACATTTGAGAGGGAACATGTTTGGGGTTGGATAGCTATATTACTGGTCATAGAAAAGAACATAGAAACCAATTTTGACTACCATCAGTAGAAAACTACAAGTTTGTGAAAATGAATAACTAAAGCTACCTGAATCAACATGAATGATTCTCACAAATACAGTTTGTAGAACATGTACAGTAGGGTGGCATTACAGGATTACACTAGTAGCCTGCAATTGACAGATTGCTAAGTGATCTGTCCCTGTGTAATAAAACAATAAGGAAACGTGTGAGTGAGAAGTACTAGGCCTGGATTGATCATTACCTAGTGGGGGTGGGATTTTCTTGCAGATGAAATAATTCTTCAAGAGGTTTTTAGCTGTATTGGCATTGTTTCTTTGGCTGGGATATGGGCACTTGGGTGGTATTTAGTTGATCTTTTTGTACATAGTAGTTTATAAACAGTTAAAATGACCTTTGTGTTGGGTGTGTTGGCCACACCTGTAATCCCAAAGCTTCTGGAGGCTGATGCAGGAGGGTCACAAATTCAAAGATAGCCTCAGAACTTATGGAGGCCCTAGGTAACTTTGTGAGATCCTGACTCAAAATAAAAAAGGGCTGAGATTATAGCCCAGTGGTACAGTGCATCCTGAGTTCCATCCCCATTATAAAAAAAAAAAAAAAAAAAAAGTCCTTCACCTCTCCTACTCCCCCCAGGTACTGCCCCACACCTTGGCTCCACAAGGTCTCTGCACTAACCCAAAGAGTTGTATGTGGTTGCCTCCACTTCCTTGTTCCCTCCGGTTCCCCCTTCAGCCCACCTCACTCAAACTTTTGTCCCCACACCACCAAGCACCACAGACACAGCTCTTGTCCGGGGCACCACAGACTGTTCCTAAGTCCAACAGCAGCCTCACCCACGTCCTCTCTGGTGACTCAGCACATCTGGCATAGCCAGCTGCTCCCTGCCTGGAAGCCCTCTCCCCTCATTCCTGTGCACCCCAAGCCCCCATCCAGCCCTGCTCCTCTCCAGCTATGCTTTGGCTTGACCTGTAAATTCTGAAGGACTCCATGGCCTGTGGTCTTCTCCACTGGGACCTCTTCCCGACATGGTCTCTGATAACCCCAACCGGAGACCCTGAGCCTTGACATTTCCCCTAATCTTGGGCTGTCATAACAGAATGCCACTCGCTGGGTGGCTTAAATGCTTATTTCTCATCTTCTGGAGAGAAATTCAAGATCGGGGTGATGGTGTGATCAAATTCTTGGTAGCCCCCTTCCTAGTGTATGGATGGCACCCTTCCCGTCTTCACACAATCTTTCCTTGGTGTGTGCACATGGAAACGAGGAGAAGTAGGGGAAAGTGTACCCGAAGTCAGATCTCCCCGGGGCCTTAGGAGCTCACAGTGCCTCTTGACTTCCAACATGGGGGAACTGGTCTTCCCAAGGAGTGAGATTTTTGCTAAGGAGCCTTCTTGGTGGGTCAGGATAAGGTAGGATAGCAGGAATAAGAAATAGGTACAAAGGAGACATAAAGGAAGGACAAGGAAATAAGATATCAATACAGAAGTCCCCTACTGCCTTTCTCCCAGGCCATCATCCCAAACTCCTGGGAAATCTGTAAATCCACCTGTGCACTCTTGACCCCTAATAAATACAATATTTTGAAAAATCTCTAATTTAGGAGACTTTCCAGGGCCCATCTATTGATCAGATCATGAAGACCTCATTGGCCTGAGCATCCTCAGATTGGCCGGATCACCAGAACCTCTCTTCAAGTCACTGGTCTCACTCCCACACACCAGCCCATACCCACCCCTCACCAAGGTTCCTCTAAAAGAAGGGCTGAACTTCAAAAAGGCTGCTTCTCCTTCTTGAGATGGCCCCATCCTCCCCTGAATGTGTATCCACTGTCCTCTGTACCTCTCTATACCTCCTCTATACCTCTGATGTGTGCTCAAATTATTTTCCATCAAGGAAGACAACCCTGTGAGCCCTGAGCCCGTTCCCTTCTCCCCTTGACTCTTTGGCCCCCTCCTCAGACACCCTTCCTCTCCCCTCATAGTCACACCCACTGGAATCAACCTCACTTAGCAACCCTGGGCCCTGGGGCCTGCACACCAGTGCCAACAGAGGTGGCACAAGGGTTTCGCCACCTCCTGTTCCTGAGACCCCAGTGAGCCCTTACCATCTCCCTTGCCCCTGCTGTTCTGGAGTCCCCACCAGATCCACTCTGAGACTCCACTTACCTTGGGACCTCCAGTGTTCCAGCTGCTCTGTGTACCTCCCTGATTCTGAGACCCAGCTGCCCCTGTGACCTCACATGTCCCAGTTTCTCTAAGAACCTTCCTAATCCTAAGCCTCGCTGTGTCCCTGAGACACCCTCAAGGACCTTCCCCGTGACCTCTGTTGCCCGAGCTCTGCTGTCCCAGTTGCTCTCGCGGCTGCTGCGGCTCCCGCGCCCACTGGCCGTTGGGCCAGTCCGCGCCGGGCGGCTCTCGCAGCTTCCCCGGCGGGCGCCATGCGGCCTGGGCCCGCGCTCCTGCTCCTGGGCCTGGGCCTGGGCCTGGGCCACCTCCCGCCGCCCGCGGGCCGCCGCGGGACGTTGGCCTGGCCGCCGGGCGCCCTCAGGAGCGCCCCTGGCTCCGGGCAGCGCGGCAGCCTCACCCGCCTTCGCCCACAGCCCCGCGCGGCCCGGGAGGGCGGCGTCCCCCGGAGCGGCGCCCCAGCCCCAAGGCGCGCGGACCCGGCCCTCCAGCCCCACCGCCGCGTGCGCGCCCTGCCCCGCGCCCGCCGCCCGTCCTGGAGTCCAGCCTGGACCTCCAGCCCGCGGGTGCCAGGACCCGGCAGAGCCCGCCCCACGCCCCGCTCGGTGCAGCCCGACGGCCGCCGGAGCAGGTGTCGGGCGAGCGCGCCCGCGCGCCAAGGCTTGAAGGCGGCCAACTCGTCGGGCAGCAGGAGCACAGCGCCCTCCGAGTCCTGCCAGTTGGCCGATTGCGTCATCCACCGCGTGCAGATCCGCAGGGACCAAGACCCCGTGCCCTTCATCTGGATGAAAGATAGCTCCATCAACGCGTCCGTCCAGTACGACTGCCGCATGAACGTGTACATTGTCTACACGTGGCAGATCTTTCCCGTCCGCTCCGTAAACCACGTGCCCGACTGGACCCGTCCTCTGCGTGCTCAGCTGCAGGCGAATCTGCCCCTCTTACGCATCCCCAAGTTCACTCTGCAGCAGGGAGTGTATGTGTTTAATTTCAGCATGACCATCAACAAGCCGGATGGAAAAGTCTTATCCGCGACAGACGCCGTGTACGTCCAGGTTAGCGGACACCCGCTGAAGGCAGTCCTTCTCGGAGGCGCTGATGTCACAGTGAATTTCACAGATGAGCTGATTCTGGATGGAAGCAAGTCTTCTGACCCAGATGCAGACAGGCCCTTAGAGGGGCTCGTTTTTTCTTGGTACTGTACTACAAATCTAAGCAACTACCATTTAGATCAAATTACAGTGTTTAGTAAGGAAGTCTGTCACCCAGAGCAGACTAATCTGAATTGGCTGCAGGCTTCCAGCCCAAAACTGACACTGGCCCCAGAAACACTTAAAGGGGACAGAGTGTATTATTTCAGAATGATGGTGAAGAAGGGTTCCAAGTCAGCATCTTCTGATAAAAGGGTGCGTGTGCTCCCGGGACCACTGCCTACAGCACACGTCTCCTGCACCGAAAACTGCGGCCAGAGTTTAGTCGTATCGGATCGATTCTCTTTGTTCCTCAACTGCAAAGACTGTGTCAGCAGGGACTTCTACAACTGGTCGATTTTGTCCTCAGCAGGTGATGAGGTGTCATTTGACTGGACGCGGCAAACTGTAACGGGGAGGAATAGTGCTTATTTGTTGGTAAAAGCTTTTGCCTTTTCACATTTCTCTGAAGCTCGGTTTTGGGTTTCTGTCTCTCTGACAAGTTGGAAGGGCATGACCATGGTGTTTAGATATGGCTTCATCATCAACCAGGGGCCTCAAGTTGGGAAATGCCAAGTTAATCCAGCTAGAGGATTTGCAGTCGTTACTAAATTTGTTGTCCAGTGTAGTAATTTCAAGGATAAAGACATTCCCCTTACATATAAAGTCATTGTTTCCGATGTGGAGAGTGTTGGAGAAATCAGTTCAGTGGAGGAGAACACCATGGGGACCACCCTGTATCTGGGGACAGGGTCCACGGCACCTCCTTCCTTTCTCCCTGCTGGTGTGCCAGCGAATCATTATGCCTTGAAGTTTTACGCTCAGGTTTATGACTCCCTAGGGGCTTTTTCTCAGGTGACCTTTTATGCCACCGTACAGGCTCCTACTGACAAAAACCCTTCAAAGACTGTGTTGGATCAGTTAGTCCATCTCACCACAGGACCCACTTCATTGCTGTCCACTTTGCTTCAAAAGCAGGACATGTTACCTGCAGGTTACTTGATATATGTGGTGGCTTCTGTCTTGAATAGCATGAAAGCTGAACCAACACTCCAAGGTGACAAAGTCAATCTCCAGGAAGAACTTGTCAAACAGTCTTTCAAGCTTCCTGTAAACACTTTGGATGAAATTGGCCAGGTAGTGATGATCATCACCAAATTAACTCAGAAAGGCTCCGAATTCACTGAACTTGCTCAGCAGAAAGCCCTAGAGAAGCCATGGCAAGCAAACCAGGCCCTGCAGGAGTATCAACGAAAAGACAAGAACTTTCGCTCCGAGCAGGTAGACATCATGAGCACTGGAATCCTGATGAGCTTGTCCAATATCCTCCACCTGATCGTTCAAAAGGGCCGAGTGGTCGAAGACCCTTTCAAAGTAGTAGAATCTCTGTCAGACACAATACTGGCTGACAAAGTGCCGAGCAATGAGACCACTATTCTGAGGACTCCCAAGCTGAACATGTGTGTGGAGAGAGTTGAAAAGTGGGACGTTTCCCAGGCTTTCAGAAATGAGGAATGCTGCCGAAATTGCTTCCATGCTACACTGAATGCAAGCAGGGTTCCTGGTCTCCCTGCAAAAGCTCCAGTTTCTATGATGTTTTATGAGTTCACAGATTACCCCTTTCCTTGGTTACATGCTGCAGAAAACACTTCTGCAGGGGTGATTGGGTTCAGAATGACAGGGGCCACAGAAAAGGGAAAAGTGATAGAGATCACACCTGATGTAGTAGATGTGTACCTCGTCAGAAAAAACTTGACCTCTGCGAACTTTAATCTCACGGTGGGACCCAGCAAGGAGCGTGGGGGGTCCTTGAAGAAAACAACAGGGGGGTTTGAATTCGAAGTGGACATCAGAAGAGTCAGGGAGGTGCTGATCCATTTTGTTACAGAAGTAACTGTGTTGTTCAAGGTGTTCGTGTACGCAGGCAGTCAGGGTGCCCCCGCTGATGTGGTCGCTGTCTACATCATGGCTCACGACGTCCCTCCAGTTGTAGACCACAGTTGGAGTGACCTGTCTGACGTAGCCTGTGCCGTTAGGGAGGCCCGCGTGGTTTGCCTGCCGCCATCCGTGCTGCAAATCATAGCTCAGCGCAGCCACTCACCCAAGTGTACCATATCCATGGTTCTGCAGGCACCTCATTTTGTCCTGGAGCCCAGTGACAAGCTAGTGAGAATCTCTCTCTTCAGTGTGCACTGCATGGACATGTATGGGATCCAGAGTGACTGGAAGGAGGACACCTGTATGCTGGGTGAGAAGACCACTTGGGATACAGTGCACTGTGTCTGCAAGAGCGCGGTGAGGACCAGGCGGCAGCTGGGTGCACCCAATCTGGCCTACCATCGCCTGCACACCCACTTTGTGACGGCCAGAGTGATCGTGATTCCAAATACTGTGGATCTACGGCTCACAGTCATCAGGAATGTCAGCCAAAACCCTGTAACCCTTTTCACTGTGCTGTTCATCATACTCCTCTACACAGTGCTGGCCTTCTGGGCCTTGCACAGGGATGAGATGGACCAGTTTCTTCGGGACCATGTGATAATTCTGCCCGATAATGATCCTTATGACAGCATGTGCTACCTGATCACTGTTTTTACAGGGAGTCGTTGGGGGGCTGGGACCAGGGCCAATGTCTTTGTCCAACTTAGTGGAACAAAGAGTAAGAGTGATGTGCATTGTTTAAGCCATCCACATTTTAAGACTCTCTACCGTGGGAGCATCAACACTTTCCTCCTTACAACAAAAAGTGACTTGGGGGACATCCATTCCATCCGTGTGTGGCACAACAATGAGGGAAGAGCTCCAAGCTGGTATTTAAGTAGAATCAAAGTGGAAAATCTGTTTAACAGACAAATTTGGCTATTCATATGCCGGAAGTGGCTTTCTGTTGACACCACTTTGGAAGAAACATTTCCTGTTACCCTCCCAGATGAGCCTCTGAAAAGAAAGGACTACTTCCTGATAGATATGACCAGGAGGCTAGGGAAGAACCACTTGTGGTTCTCTGTTTTTACTAATATTGTTACGAAGTCGTTCAACAGGCTTCAAAGACTGTCCTGCTGCTTAGCCATGTTGCTCAGCTCCCTCGTTTGTAACATCATGTTCTTTAATCTAAACGTAAAAGAACAAACAAAAGAGGGACGCTACATCAGATCAATGATGATAGGAATTGAAAGTGTCATAATTACAATCCCTGTTCATCTATTAATAACATTTTTCTTTACTTACTCCCAGAAGAGACCTAAAGTGAGTCTGGATGAGGTGGCTCCTCAAAAGCATCCCCTTCTGTCAGAAGAAAGTGGGTACTGGAAAGAGCGCCTGGACAAGTGGCATGCTTACGAAACTTCCAAGGGGTACACCACAGAAAAGGCAAGCACCAAGAGGACAGCGAGTGCCAGGCAAACCCCAGTCGCCAGGGGAGCCCCAACCATCAAGAAACCGACAAGCCGAATCTCAAGGGTCAAGCCTGGGCCTTCTAAGTCTTTTCTTCGGGTCACTTTTAAAGAGGAGCAGCAAAGTGTGAGTGAAGAGACCAACACCTCAAACATCCACAGGACCAACACAAATGCCAGTAACAGAAATAGAGAAGACGATCAAGATGTTCCTTCTCAGCAAGAGAGTCCTCAGCACCTTAACAAGAAGCCCCAGGTTATCTTGCCTTCGTGGTGTGTCTATGTGGCATGGTTCCTGGTGTTTTCCACCTGTAGCATATCATCATTCTTCATCATATTTTACGGGCTGACTTACGGCTATGAAAAGTCAATGGAATGGCTCTTTGCATCTGTGTGCTCATTCTGTCAGTCAGTCTTTCTGGTGCAGCCCTGTAAGATTATACTGTTGTCGGCTGCCAAAACAAGTAAGCCGAAGTACTGCAAGAACCTTTCCTGGTCAACCAAGCATGGTTACATTGAGATCAGGCTGCGGGAGCTGATAGTACCTCCGAAGGAGATGCAGACCTTCCACAAGCACATCCTCAACCTCCAAGGCTCAAGGATGTACCAGCCTCTCACCGAGGATGAAATCAGAATATTCAGAAGGAAGAAGAGGATCAGGAGAAGGGCCATCCTGTTCCTGAGCTATCTTCTGACCCACTTCATCTTCCTGGCCCTTCTGCTGCTCCTTATTGCCCTGCTGCGTCACACTGATAGCTTCTACTATAATCAGTTCATCCGGGATCAGTTCTCTGTGGATCTTGCTGCTGTGACAAAGCTGCAAGACATCTACAGATGGCTTGATGGTGTACTCTTGCCTTTGTTCCACAATGACCTGAACCCAGCGTTTCTTATCGATAGCTCTTCTAAAATCCTTGGCCTTCCCCTCCTGAGGCAAGTGAGAGCAAAAGCTGGGGAACGAGTGTGCCTGCCTTCTGAGAACTTCGTGGAGAACAGCATCTCAAAAGAGACCCATTGTCGTCCCAAGTACGGCACTGACCCAGAAGACACAAAAAACTATTCTAGCTTTTGGAATGCAGTTAGCAAGCGTGAGACAGACAATGCCGCCAATGGGTTTACTTATAAGCCTCGAGAAAAAAAATGGGTGTATTATTCCTATGGACTGCTAAATACCTATGGATCTGGAGGGTATGCATTCTATTTTTTTCCAGAACAGCAGCAGTTTAATTCCACATTGAGGCTCAAAGAACTCCAAGGAGGCAAATGGCTTGATGAGAAGACATGGGCTGTGATTCTGGAACTAACGACTTTTAATCCAGACGTCAACCTGTTCTGTAGCATTTCAGTCCTATTTGAGGTCTCACAGCTGGGGGTAGTCAACTCCAGCATATCCACACACTCCTTCCCGCTTGCTGACTTCAACAGGAAAACATCAGCAGAGATCTACTTGTATGTGGCCATTCTCATTTTTTTTCTAGCCTATATTGTGGATGAGGGATACGTAATTTTGCAAGAAGGAGCCTCCTACATGAAAAGTGTTTATAATCTGCTCAACTTTGCTTTAAAGTGCATATTTACCCTGCTGATCATGCTCTTTGTCAGTAAGCACTTCTTGGCCACTGGTGTGATTCAGTTCTACTTGTCCAGCCCCGAAGACTTCATTCCCTTCCACGCGGTTTCTCAAATAGATCACACCATGAGGATTATTCTGGCTTTCCTGTTATTTCTGACCATTCTGAAGACCCTCAGGTATTCCAGATTCTTCTATGATGTGCGCCTGGCTCAAAGGGCCATCCAGGCCGCCCTGCCTGGCATCTGCCACATGGCCTTTGTGGTATCTGTGTATTTCTTTGTGTACATGGCTTTTGGTTACCTGGTCTTTGGTCAGCATGAATGGCACTACAGTAACATGATTCATGCCACTCAGACGATATTTTCCTACTGCGTCTCGGCTTTTCAGGACACTGAATTTTCAAGTAACAGAGTTCTTGGGGTTCTGTTCCTGTCATCATTCATGCTGGTGATGATCTGTATCTTGATCAATTTATTTCAGGCTGTGATCCTCTCTGCTTATGAGGAGATGAAGCAGCCTGTGTATGAGGAGCCATCGGATGAGGTGGAAGCCATGACCTACCTGTGTCGCAAACTAAGAGCTGCATTTACATTTCTGACCCCTCAGTCTAAGCACAAGGATGAGTCGGAGTTCCTCGCCACCTTGCTGTATGGGCAGCCAGAGAAGAACAGCCACCGGTACCTGGGGCTGAAGACCAGAAACATCAATGGGAAGAAAATGGTCTACCTCGTTGTTTGATCAGTAACAGGTCAAGAGATAGAAGTGCTTTCCAAATGCAGTCTGTGGGATTAAGGAAGGTTTAGTGACTCAGCCATGTTTTCTACCCACATCCTTCACAAAGTACAGCCCTACATTTGGAAGTATCCCCACTCTGGGCCCTGCTGTCAGGACCGTGAAAAGTAGGAGCAGACTGTTCAAGGAGAGAAGAGGCACACAATGTGGAATGCCTGATTGATTTCCCTCTAGATGGGTTCGGTGACTCCTGGTCCAGGTGAAGCCCCCATTTCTTGGGAGCTCACAGTAGTTTGGGGTAGTTATACCCACTGGTTTTGAGGACCAGATTTGAAGAAGAAAGCATGAGGCCCCACTCTGGAACTGGCCAGGGCGGGGCAGCCTCCAGCTGCAAGACCCACAGCTGCTGCCCACACAAAGCCCGAGACGGCTTGGCCTCCCCGGGAGTCCCTTTGCAGACCAGGGATATGGAGCCTCCTCGTCCCTACTCCTGATGGCTAGAGTTCCAGGTGCCTTGTGGGGAGTTCTAGGACTTCCCCTTGAGTTAGGGAAGGGATGGGACCCTTCAAGTCTGAAATTTTCCATTTACTCCTTCATGTTACTGCAGTTCAAGTCAACTTTTTATATTCTGACTAAGGAGCGTGGCTTTTGTTAAAAAGGTACATATGGGCTCATGGTGAAATACAGCACAGTCTCTCTCTCTCTCTCTCTCTCTCTCTCTCTATATATATATATATATATATATACACAATATAGCAGCATGTCCATTCAGGGCTCGGGCACTTGATTATTTATGGCATATGCATTATATAGGAATAAGTAATGGTGGTTTATTGTTTAAAAGAAACAAGGGCTAATATATGTTATATTTTTACTTAGAAACACGTTTGTTTATGTAGATGTCACTTTAAGTTTTATCAGAATTAAATGCATGGTTTCTTCTGAGACTTGCAGTGATTTCTACCTGAGGGGCAGATACACCTGTGGTGCCAGGAGCAGTGCTGCATACCTGAGATCCCAGCCACTCAGGAGGCTGAGGCAGGAGGATCTCAAGTTGCAGGCCAGGTTTGGCAATTTAACAAGACCCTGTCTCAAAATAAACATTGAAGGGCTGGGGTTGTAGCCCAGTGGTAGAGCGTCCCTGGTTCAATCTCACTACTAAAGGAAACACACACACACACAGTGCCTGTCCTCAATCAAGGGCCAGAAAAGAGGGAAAGAGGGACACCACTTTGGCATCTGGTCACCCTGACCTGTGCAGGAATGGCAGTGGCAGGCCCCCGTCCCCAGGTGCACATTTTCCATATCTTCCAGAGAACTAGGCAGGCTTAGGCTTCTCTGGCAGGTGAGAAAATGAAGCCTAGCAACTTGCTCAAGGCTACTCACACAGTAAGCATAAGGGCAGATATAGATGTTCTAACTCCATTGGTGGGGAGGTCATGGGCATGGCTGGCCCCCACAGGCCACTCCCTCCTGGAGCACACCTTCATATTAGATCACCTGACTACTGGACAAACTGTTAAAGAGTCCACATGGGGCTGAATGATTGCTTTTTACTGACAGAAGCTGGCTGCAGTGTGGTCAAACGCACCCCCCTGCACTAACTAGTCTGTGGGGTGTTAGCCCTATGGCAGGCAATGCTGCCTTCAGAGGTGACAACCAATGGGAGCAGGCAAGACTCATATGACTCCATGGATGGGTACAACCAGGCATGCTCTGCAAATTCAGCAACCAGCTAAAGGGTCTGCTTCCTCCAGGGGCTGAGCTGTCTCAGGGTTACTCTGGCTGTCTTCCAAGAAGGGAGCACCAGGGATGGGAGCAAGTGTTTCCCAGGACCAGTGCCAGCTAACAACTCTTGACCCAGCGCTGTGGCAAGAGAATGAGTTACTGATGAGCCTGAAGGGTCGTGGTCATAAACACATGGCTTGAGAGGGCCGCACAACCTGAGAGGCCTCAGAGAAGCACTGGGGGCCTGGTTACAGCAGAGTCCAGGAAGGAGGGCTCAGGAGCAAAGGCTGGAGGAGGCTTGGCTGAGGACCAGGATGGCAGATGCTGGTCCTGCCATATGAAACCAGAGTCTCAGCTTCTTGGTGAGAAATACAGCAGTCACAGGACAACCTCAGGCATGTTGGGGAAGGGGAGAAAACAGGGGTTTCCTCTTAACAGGAAAACCAAAGACAAGAAACAAAGAAACACAGACACACTAATTTTAACTATCAGGGAGATAAGAGTATCAAGCATGACAAACCAAAATTAAGTTTCTTTTGAAGGCCATTTTCACAGAACTTGGCAATAATTTCTGGAAGAATCTTTTGAGACTACCTTGTTCTCACTGTATTTTCAGCAACAGGGTAGGCATATTCTGGGACAACTGGGAGCAGTCAGGAACACCCTCCTGGCTCTCTGTATTGCACTGAAAAGACAGATGTTCTGGGGCTTTGTTCTCAATTTTGCCCCTCACTAATTCAGAATGGCTAAAGAAACTTCAAATGCTGAGAGATCTTCCTCTAGCTACAGGAGAGTGGGGTATGTCCTTCATCTATTTCAAACTCTTTTGTTTACTGTGAAGACTTGAAATTTCAAGGTCTGCTTCTAGGATTTCACTAGTTAGCACTAAAAGCAAAATGTAGGCCTTTAGACCTTTTTGTTATTTGTAGAATGGTGAGGATGAAAAGGATTGTACTTAACAGCAAAATGGGATGCCATCAGGAATTAACTTTTCCTAGTCCTCCCCTGCTGCAGTTTGGATCCTGAATGCCCCCCAAAGGCCCATATGTTAATGGCTTGGTCCCCAGCCTGGTGCTATTTGGAGATGATGGGCCCTTTAAGAGGGGAAGCCCAGTGGAAGGAAGTTCGGTCACTGGGGGAGTGCTCCTGAGTGGGATCCTGGGACCTCACCTAGTCCCTTTCTGGGCCCCCCTTTTGCTTCCCAGCCATGAGGCAAGAGGTGCTGCTCTGCCACACACTCCCCTCATGACTACTGCCTGGCCTAGAGCAGCAGGACCAACTGATCATGGACTGAATCTTTATAATTATGAGCCCAAACTAACTTTGTCTCAAGTGTTTGTTACAGTTAACAGAAAGATGACTATTAGTCATACATTAGCTTTAGGTTTTAATCTGCATTTGGTCACTTTTGATGTTCAGATTTCCTTTCAGTCTTCTCCGAAATATGATGTACAATATTTGTTCAGTATTGTGACACATTTTAAGACCACATTTATCAATAATTTATAAGTATTACTGTCGTGACACACGACTAAACCGATCAGGGTCACTCCAAGTGAATTTTGGCTGACTAAATAAACACACAGACATGGAAAGTACCTTTCCAGGTTCAGGACCACTCTTCAGCCACAGCTTCCACAAGGGGGGTAGGGCAGGCAAGAAAGAGAGGGAGCACACCTCAAACCTGGGTTTTATTGGGGGGATGCCATTCAAATGAGGCAAGGGGCCAGGTTGAGTTTAACTTCAGGGGGTTGAGTCTAGCTTTGTGATGTCTTCCTGTCAGCAGGTTGACTGACATCTTGGAAGGCCATGCCCATCTCATAAGCTGTGTAGGGATCACAGGCAGAGTGAGCGAAAGGGACACATATGTGCACAGCCCAGACAGAGCAGCATCCTCAGTCCAGTCCACTTTGTGCGCTCAAAATGCTCATAGCTCACACATACAGCCCATGGCTGGCTCGCCACATATTACCATAACATTTATGCAACTATTTTCCCCACCAAGCCCATTCCTAAAATCTGTGGGGCGCAGGGCCAGAATATAAATCTCCTTATGTACAAATATTTGAAAGCTATAAGATATGCAAACTGTTACATACGATGTTATATCCATTTACCTTGATAAATATACCTTTATAAGAACAAAACAAAAAATATGTGTGGAACTCTGACTCCTACATAACTAAAAATTGGCAAGAAATCAAAGATAACTTAATTGAATTGTCATTATGCATTTTTGGGCTGCTAATGACTAGATGAGTAATAAAAATATGTAATCCACACATTATTTATTCCACAAATTTTATTTTTCTTGTCTTCTTCAGAAAAATCATTGTGTTAATGTAATAAATATTTCCACATAATAGTGTTCTTGACAACGGTGCCAAATAAAAACAATTGTGTATTCGCTGTAATTATGAATAGGACTCCTTAAGTTTTAGATTCAGAATTAAATCATGAATATTAATATCATGTTTAAATATTACTAGGAAGGTACATATGAAAAATTATGACAGAAAACATTACATTTGAAACATTACATTACATATGAAAAATTATGACAGAAAACATTACATTTCTCTATCATTATCTAGTGTTACTGTTATTTCCCAATTAGTACTTTTTCTTGGAACAACAGGATTTCTTTAAGTTCTTCTTCTTTTACATTTTTCAATGCCATCATTTTAAAAACCTAAAAATTAAAGTGGATCTCTTGTCATTTTGCTCAAATCTTTCTTCAATAGAAGCTATATCTTGAGCTATAGTGACCAGAAAATAGTCTCTACAAAAATTAGTTTCAGGATTATGCATAAATATTTCCTGGTTCTAATTTCCCTACATTGTACCTGAATGTCATTTTAATGATTATTTCATATGCAGTCTATTTTCTGAAACCACTTTTGTCTAAAACTTTATGGAATACTTTCAATGATTTTGGATTTTTGGTAAGCTTTTTCTAATAACTGAACAACTTTTTAAAATTAACTCTTGGTTGTGCTAAAGACCACAATTTGCTCTTAGTATTTCACTTAACTCTTACACTGCATGCAAACTTGTTTTTTTTTTTTTTTAATATTTATTTCTTAGTTCTCGGCGGACACAACATCTTTGTATGTGGTGCTGAAGATCGAACCTGGGCCGCACGCATGCCAGGGGAGTGCGCTACCACTTGAGCCACATCCCCAGCCCAGCAAACTTGTTTAAAAAGTCTGCTGTAGCATTCATGGGATTACCACAGTGTACCTCATAGGTTAAATCTGACATGCTTCATCAAGTTCATTGGGCAGATCTGGAAAACAAAAACAAAAACAATCTATGAATCTAGTATATTATCTTTAAAGGGATTGGAAGACTATCATTGCTGTAAGCAAAGCTGATGTCTACTAGTGAGGAAATAAAATGCTTGCTAACTCTTGCCCAGGTCCGAGTGGTTCTAGTCCCAGGTATTATTGCTAAAATCCTCCTATTGATACTGCCAGTTACCTGCTTCTTCACGTGTTGAAGCATAATATTAGAGAAGCACGCTGTGGCAAGCATGTAAAACAGGGTTTGTATAAAAAGGGGTAACATAGACTTCTCCCCAGAGGAAGAAGGGGACCATAGCTGGTATCCTGATATCCCAAGAAGTGAGGGTGTTCTGCCTTTTTGTATAGCCTAGGCTTCTTTTGTTCTCCTGCTCTCTTTCCCCTTATCTCTCTCCTTTCTTGTGCATGACTAGGTCCAGGAGATGCTCTTGGGATGGCCAAAAGGTGGGAGACAGGCCAGCTGGAGGAGTCAGGGAAGAGTGTTCTGGGCAGGAAGGGGGCCCAGGGTGAATTAATTAGCAACTTTTACAACTCCCTGTAGGGAGGGACAATTCCTGGGGCAGCTTACCTTAGCAACAGGTGGGAGCAGGGGCAGGTTCTTGATAAAGGTGGAGGAAGGGCTCTGAAGGAATTAACATTTCAATCCCTCCATTCTCTGGATTTGACCCTTGCCTATCTGCCTAATTCTGGCTTCACTATAATTCTCAATTCCCCAAAGGAATGAGTCCCAGACACCAGTCCCATTTAAATGCAACTTTAAATATGGAATTGACAAATGTAGGGTAAATTCTGGTCTACGAGATACAGTTGCAGCCCCCATAGGCAATGAGTGAATATGTCTCACAGAGCCTGGGGAATTGGTCCAGAGATCCCACTAACTATGCAGGATGTCGAAGAAGACTGTGGCCTGGTGAAACAGAACAGTGGGACCTGCCGCTGCAGCAGGTCATCTCTCCCACAGAACAAAACCCCTAAACCACCGGGGAAGAGGCGTAGCGGATCCTGTTCTCCCCCAAAGTTCAGGTGAAGACCCACTGCGTTTAGGGAGAGGCCAGGAGTGGAGTCCACAAGCCAAGTTCAGCCTGCTGCCTTCAGAATCCGTGCCTGTAACTCCGCAGACTTATTAGTGCTTCCCATTAACGGGGTCCAGGAGTGGGGCGGGCATTTCAGGGCCAAATAACAGCGGGCTGAAAAGGGCGCGAGGCGCAGACCACCAGGGGCGTCGCCGGCCACTGGGAGGCTTCGAAGGCGCAGCGTCGGGTCCGAGGCCACACACGCCGGGGCTCCTGCTGACCCAGCCCGTCGGCCTGGGGGTGGGACGACAGGACGCAGCGAGCTAACAAGGTCCGGCGACCCCGACCTGCGACAGCCCCGGGGGCCGGGCGCCTCGGGGAGGTGCGAACGGCAGGCAGAGCCCGCGAGTTCGGCCGGGGAGCAGCCGGGTCACAGGTTCCACGACGGAACCGGAAGGACGCGACGGAAGCGGAAGCGGAGCCGGGCCGCGCAGGCGCCGTGGAGCCAGGGTCGCGGCGGCGGGCAGCGGTGAGTGCCTGTGCGGCGGCCAGCGTGCGGTGGCCGGCCTGGCGCTCTCTGGGCGCCTCCAGCTCGCGGGCTCCTGCCTTGGCCGGTCCCGGCTGTGAGCGGAGGTGGGCGGCATGGCCGTCGGGCACCGGGACGGGGACGGGGATGGGGGGCGCTGAAGGGCCGCGCGTGCCTATGGCGGGGCCGGCGGTGCGGAGCCCTGCTGATCCCGAGAGCTGGCTGGGAGGCGGCCGGTGTGGATTCGGAGTGACTGGGCTGAGGCCACGCCGTCCCGGGACTGTCACCTGCCGGTTACCTGCTACAAGGGCACCGCGCCCAGCAGCCTCGGTGGGGGTCTAGGTCGCACCAGTTAAGATGCAAAGTGGAATTAGGTTCGCTCGCATCCAGGATTTTCACAAAAGTCACCCGAGGTCTGCATCGGGGCTGGCCAACAACAAAGCTCCTACTGCTGGGCGCACTGCACCTCCCTCGAGTCGTTGGGGTGGGGGGGTCACAGCAGGGAGCCAAGGGGCTGACTCCTAAGGTTGTGCAAGAACTTTGAAAGACAAATAGAAATTCTGTAAGCAAAATGATCAGATAAAGCTGAATGATCTACCAGTCATAAGTTTTCTTGAACCCATCAGACAGCAGGCATCACAGAGGGATCTCTTATCCTATCTTGAATGACCTAGCTTCCTAAGCCCAACAGACCATGGGAGGGCTTGCCATCCAAGCTGGTAAGTAGTCAGCTAAGTTTTAATGAAATGCTGAATACCAGCTGTTTTAGTCAGCTCTTTCACTGTTCTGACCAAAAGACATGACAAGAACAATTAGAGGAGGATAAGTTTACTTGGGGCTCACAGTATCAGAGTTCTCAGTCCACAGACAGCCAGCTCCATCCATCATGGCAGAAGGCTGTGGCTGGGGATCAGGACACGACAATCAGGAAGTAGACTTCCCTCACCAGGGACAAAATATATACCCCAAAGACATGCCTTCCTCCTCCAGCCACACCCCACCCATCTACATTACCAACCAGTTTATCAGTTTTAATGCACCAATTAGGTTAAGGCTCTCTTAATCAGTCATTTCACCTTTAAACTTTTTTTTTGGGGGGGGGGCAGCTTCTGGAGATTGAATTCAGGGGCACTCAACCACTGAGCCACATCCCCAACCCTATTTTGTATTTTTTATTTACAGACAGGGTCTCACTGAGTTGCTTAGCACCTTGATTTTGCTGATGCTGGCTTTGAATTCTCAATTCTCCTGTCTCAGCCTCCCAAGCCACTGGGATTACAGGCATGTGCCATTGCTACCAGCTAAACTTGCTTGCATGCGCTTTTGAGAGACACCTCATATCCAAACCATAACACCATCTATACCAAGTGTGGACTAGGGTTGGTGTATAGAGCCCCTGGGAGCCACAGAAACAAAGAGAGTTTGCAGCCACTCCGGACTCTTCACCAGCATGCACTGTGCTGTGGAAAAGATCCAGGGCAGGGGCAAAAATGCTTTCTTGGTGGTGCAGACTTGGAGGAAGAGGTGGCTGCTGCTCCAGCTGTACCCTATCATTTGAGGTCTCATATACTTGGGGAGGGGGCGGGATTCATGACACATCCACACATCCAGGGTCACAAGGCCTAGGCCTGACGGTAAAGGAAAGATAGAACTACTACTGTGCAGATGACAGTGAGTAGCATGCAGTTGTACCTGCAGCCTCAAGTGATGGTGCAGCAGATGTTGAGAACATTCTGGACAAATAAATCTCACACCCGAGCAAGGTATTGCTGGGGAAATATAAAGCCTGGCATACTCTAAGGATAACAATAGCAACTACAAAACCCAGACCCATGTCAGCTGCTAACTAGAATGATTCAATACCCAGTACTACAGGCTCAGCAGAAACAGGCCTGTTTTCAGGCGTAAGTACTGCTTACCTCCATTCCAAACAGTGTCAAGCTTTCAACCAGAATAGCAAAACAAAAGGCCCCATTGCCAAGGATCAAACAATCAATAGAACCAGAAGCAGATATGGCTCAGATGTTAGAACTGTCAAGATGGAGTTTAAGCATGATTAATATATTAAGAGCTTTAGTGAAAAAGGTAGACAGTATGCATATACAGATGGGAGTTTCAGCAGAGAAGGGAGCAGAAAGAGTTGATGGAAATGCTAGCAAGAAACAGCAGAGGCACAGAATGCCTTCAAAGGGCACAGCAGTTGACTTGCTATAGGTAAGGGGGGAAAATCAATGAACTTGAAGATAGGTCAATAGAGATCGCCCAAACTGAAATACAAGGAGAAGAGAATGGAAAACCCAAAGTAGAGCATCCAAGAACTGGGGGCCAGTATCAACTGGCATTAACATTTGCAGTAGCAATTTCAGCAGAAAAGAGAAATGGAGCAGAAGAAATATTTGGATTTTTCAGAACTAATGAAAGATACCATCCACAGATTGAAGAATTTGCTTACAGCAGCATCATCAGGATAAGTAACTTCAAAACAAAAGAACAATCCTGGAAATTGCTGAAAGCCAAAGATCAAATCTTCAGAGTAGCCAGAAAGAAATTCTGTAGAGATGAGGGGAAAGTCTTGCAGGTAGAAGGAACAGTAGGAGTGAAGGTGAGGAAGTGAGTTTTTGCAGGATAGGTAATTAGCCCCTAGAACTAGCTGCCTGTGGAAAAAGGTCATATCCAACTAAACAGCCTTATATGCCTAAGAAGGGAGCTCACTCCAGCCAGTTGGGAGCCACTTAGGGCTTCCTCTCCCAGCACAATGTGTAGCTTTGGGTTTTTAATAATCCTCTTGAATTTTATCATGATTTTCCTGTATCTATTGATATGACCATATGATTTTCTTCCCTCTGTTAGTGGCATGAATTGTACACATTGGTTTTTGAATGTCAAACCAACCTTGCCTTCCTGGGACAAATCTGCTGTCACAATCCATTAGACCTTTGAATTCAACCTGCTAATATTTTGTTTACTTGTGTTGATGTCCATGAGGATGTCGGTCTGTAGTTATGTGATAAAAGCTTTGTCTAGTTTGCGGTGTCATGGTAACACTGGCAGTTTGGTGTCTACAAAATATTGATATCACAAAACCCCAGGAAGTGTTCCTTCTGCCTGCAGTGCTAGAAGAGTTCACATAGGATTAATGCTACTTCTTCACATGCTTGACGGAATTAGACAGTAAAGCCAGCTAGGCATGACATTTTGAAAAATGTATTTTTGTTTGTTTCATTTTTGGAGAAATTTTTAATTATAAATTTCATTTTCTTAGTAAAAATAGGGCTTGTAGGTTTCCAGTATCTTCTGAGTCACTTTTGATAATTGGTGTATTTTCTGTTTTATTTTTTAATTTATTTATGTTGGTCCTGGAGATTGAACCCAGGGATTTTTCCCTTTTAATATTTTTAAATATTTATTTTTTGGTTGTAGTTGGACACAATAGCTTTATTTTATGTGGTGCTGAGGATCGAACCCAGGGCCTCACATGTGCTAGGCGAGCACTCTATTGCTGAGCCACAACCCCAGCCCTGCCCTTTTTATTTTTGAGACAGGATCTCACTATATTACCCACGCAGGCCTTGAACTTGCATCCTCCTGCCTTCAGCCTCCTGAGTCCTGGGATTACAGATGTGCATCACTGTGACTGGCTGATGATTGGCTGATAAATGGTAAAAATTTTTGGTTAAAAGTAATACACGATGTTCCTTTATTATCTGCAAAGTGTTTCTAGTCTTAATGATGCTGCCTCTTTGATTCCTGAGAGTAATAATTTATGTCTTCTTCAACTTTTCTTGATCAATCTAATTAGAGGCTATCGATTTTATTTAACTTTTGGAATAAGCAGTTTGGCTTTATTGAGTCTTTTTCTGTTGGCCTTTACCCCGTTTCTTTGACTTCTGTTTCTTTTTTTATTATTATTTTCTTCTTTTCTACATGTGTTGGGTGTTATTTGCTTTCTCCTCCTAGCTTCTTAAGAAATCATCACTATAGGATTGAGTCTAAATATTCTTTTCTAGTGTAAACATGCAAAGTCATGAAATTCCTTCCTAAAAACCATGTAAGCTGCATTCTGCACATTTTGGTGTGTTGTATTTTAGTTTTCATATAGTTAAAAATATTTTCTAATTTGTCTTGTGATTTCTCCTTTGGACTATGGCTTTTTAAGAAGTATATTGCTGAATTTCTAAGTATTTAGGGAATTTCCAGGTACCTTTCTGTGATTGATTTCTAATGTAGTTGTTTCATAGTTGGCGTACATACGTGACAATTCTCATCTTTCAGAGCTTGAGGCTGGTGTCACAGCCCAGCAGTCCATCTCGAGCACACTCAAACATCACATGCGATTGTGAGCAGGTCTTGGGCTTGCTCTGAGCTCGGGATTTCTTGTCTGTAAGGGAGGCTTGCATTTTGTGGGTAAAAAATATGCACCAGACCATCGAGTGTCTGAGATGGGGGTTTGTGGTTCTGAAGGTGTGTTAGTCAGCTTTCTTGCTGCTGTGACTAAAGGACCTGACCAGCACAATTGTAGAGGAGAAAAGGTTAATTTGAGGGCTCACAGTTTCAGAGGTCTTAGTCCATAGAAGGCAGGCTCCAATCTTGGGGCTCAAGATGAGGCTGAACATCACGGCAGAAGAGTGTGGCAGAGGAAAGCAGCTCACATCATGAGGAAGCAGAGAGAGAGACTCCACTCACTAGATACAAAAGTACACCCCAAAGCCACGCCCCAGTTCCCACTCCTCCAGCCACACCCACCACTTCAGTTAATGCCATCAGGGATTAATTGACTGATGAGGTTAAGGCTATGCCCCAATCATTTCTCCTCCAAGCCTTCTTGCATTGTCTCACACATGAGCTTTCGGGGGAAAACACATCCAAACTATAATAGAAAGTGACATGCCCTGTCTTTTCATCTTGCAGATGGCATCTGAGGCAGAGTGCTGTCCTCTGGGTGTGTTCAAGTGCCAGCTCTGTTCTGTGACAGCTCCATACAGCTATGTGGGGCAGAAGCCCCCCAACACCCAGGCTGTTGTGTGAGTACATGTTTTGGGAGCCAGTGCCCGGGGTGGTTTGGCGGATTCTGGGCCAGAGTCTGACACCTGGCTTGGGTGTTGTGCCTCAGGCCTGTTCCTGCCCAGGCTTTGGGTGTTTCAGGTGTGACCGGTAGAGGCCCAGGCAGGACTTGAGGGCTTCTCGGATGTCCAGCTCCCAGGCTTTTCCTCCTAGCACAGCCCAGGGTTCAAGGACTGTTCCAGCCACGGGGTAGAATCTGTGGCCACGCTGAAACATCCCAGCAGTGGGCAACAGAAGCCATGGTGGCCTCATCATTTGGGGCTATGCCCTATTGTCTGGTGCTACTTCCTGGGAGGGACACCGTCTTCCTTGCTGTCCCGGTAGACGTGAGTGTTGAGGACCACCTCATGTGGGTCTGCCCACAGCAACCAAGAGTGGACCTGGTCTAGCACTTGCTTCTTGACCTTTCCATGTCAAATCAGAGGCCACATGGGGGAAAGCCGACCATGGCCCACTGGCAGGGGCACCAGGCTCCTTTCTTCTAGCTGTGGTTCTTCTGCTGACCAGGAATTGTGTCACCATGTAACCCTGCTGGTGTGAGAGCTGGCAGCTTAGGGGAGCCTTGTGTCCACACCCAGTGGTGAGACTGGGGTTGGGACACACTGGGACAGCCCTTCTTGTTATTAAAAAGGACTTCTCTCTACACAGATGGCTGGTGTAGACCAAGGCTGGTTCAGGTCTCAGTTCTCTCCTGGCCTGCAGTGGCTTGGCCATTCTGTCACTACCCTGTGGCAGAGGTGGACAGTCCCTCCTCTGCTGAGCCTAGGCAGGGGTGCAGGTCCCAGCAGGTCCCCTATTTCACAGCCAGTGCCGTGGCTCGCAGCCAGGTGTCCACTGGCTTAGGTTGGGCTTGTCTCCTGCAGCCTGCTGGAAGAGAGCTACGTCATGAAGGACCCCTTCACTTCAGGCACAGACAGATTCCTGGTCCTTGGGTCCCGGTGCAGCTTGTGCAGCAGGCTGGTGTGTGTGGGTCCGGTGGGTAAGCCGCAGGGCCAGGACTGCCTGTCCTCACTGTGGGGATCTGGGGGCCCGCCCGGCACAGGTGGAGCCAGGGAAGCCTTTGTCGGAGGGCAGGTGAGGGTCAGGTGGAGTGTCTTGGCCTGGACAAGGAGTAGAACTAGATCCTTGCACTGTGGTACTGGCATGTGGCCACTGTGACCAGAGAAGTCCTGGAGGCTGAGAAGTCCATGAGCATCTGCCACAGAGCAAAGCACACAAGAGGGAACAGACACAGACAGCACCAGCCCACCAGCCCACCCCTCAAGGTCGGCTGATGAGGGCGTGGCCGAGCCTTGCACAAGCAGGGGTCAGGAGAGGTGGTGGAGGGTGAGGCACAGGAGAGCAGGTGAGCAGAAGGGAGGTGGCCCACACGGGTATCTCCATGGCAAAGGACTGCTTCCAAGAACTCAGGCAATTTGGTTAGTAGTTGAGGCTATGCCATGGTGCTAAGGGGCTGGAGAGAGACCCCCAAAATAGGGTGGTCCAAACAAGAGATACAGTTATTTACCCATTTTCTTATATATGAGTCTATGACAGGCAGTCCTTGCTGGGTGGACTGTGCTGCTATCATCAACATACAACATCCACTTGGGTCCACTATGGCTCTTGTAGCTTCTATCATCACATGTATATCCCAGCTAGCAAGAATGGACAAGGGAGCATATGTCCCTTCCTTTGGAGGGCATGATCAGGAGGTAGCATACTCATGATGACACCCCTGACCATACTCGCCACATGGCCATACCCAGTTGCAAAGCGGGCTGGGAAGTGTCCTGAGCTGGGTGCAAGGGGGAATCTCAGCAGTTCTAGTATTGAGGGTCATGAAGGAGAGTGGACGTGGCTGGGAAGGTCTGGCCTCCTGCCCAGACCAGTCACTGATTGGTGGCCTCTCAGGTCTGTGGGGCTGTCCCTGTCACCCCCTGCTGCTCCTGGCTCAGGCACTTGCCAAGGCCCTGTCCTGCTGAGATAACCAAGCGAGGACTCGGGACTCCAGCCCGAAGTGGGCTTTACTCCTGATGGAGCAGGGCAGGCCCGGCATCTGTCCCCCCGTACCCCCTGCCTCCTGGATGCCTTGCCAGACCCTTAGCTCTTGCTGCTCTGGCTGTGGCCCCCGCCCTCCCTGTGCCTGTGGGGGGCCGCTGGCAGCTCTGGAGGAGCAGCCGTGTCCAGGCCGCTCACTGTCCCCTCCCCTGCCCCAGGAGTGCAGCTTGTTCTACAGCAGGAGGTTCTGCCTCCCTTGTGTCCAGGACAACATCAGTGCCTTCCCGCGGGAAATCCAGCAAGACGTGGAGAAAAGGAAAGGTCCTAAGCGGCCCTCCAGCCAGCCCTGTCCTTGAACGTGAGTGCAGTCTGTGCCACGTGGGCAGCAGTCTCCTGTGCAGAGCTCCTGGCCTGGTAGGGAGCAGCATCTGCAGCCCCAGGGAGTGGAGGAGCCGTGCCAGGAGGTGGAGCAGACAGCCTGTGGGTCCAGCCTGGTGCTGCGGAGCTGCCCCCAGGGCTGAGGATTCTGAGTGAGAGGGAGACTCCCTTCAGCTTGGGTAGCCTGGAAGGCGCACACATGAGGCCTGGAACATGGTGGAGGGCCACGCTGCCATCCGTGCACAAGGAAGTCACTCTCCGAGGCTGCCTCCATGCACAGCAGTAGGTCTGGGGGACAGGATTTTTTCTTTACATCCTTATGTAAGCTTGGAAATGTCCTGCATCTTGACCACTCACTGCCCATTACCGACATGACTGAGAACCTCAAGAGCCCACCAATGCTTTGAAAAGAAATTCTTCCACAAGACACTTGGAGACTGGATGTCCCCATAGGCACTCTGGGATGGCAGTGTGAAGATGTTTTTTGTGGACACTTTGGGCAAGACATCATGGACAGGCAGTGGAGGGGGTGCTGGGAAGCCAAGTGTCGGCTTTCCAGCTGCTCAGGCTGGCTCCAGCCCGGACCCCGCTGCACGCTCTGCCCTGCACTCTCAGGTCAGGAACACTGGCTTCCTTCCCTTATGCCACCCCTCGCCACCCTGCACTCAGCCCTCTAGTCCCACAGCCTCCCAGGGGTCCCCGTGTCTGCTTAGAGTCTCAGAGGCAGGAACTGCTGCCTTACTCTGTGACCACGGCAAGGCCGACCAGCAAGTTGGGTGAGATATAAAGATCTTTGATGTGTACACTGGATTTTATTTAAGAGCTTCCTAGGGGCCGGAATTGTGGCTCGAGTGAGAGCGCTCGCCTTGCACTTGTAAGGCACTGGGTTCGATCCTCGGCACCACATAAAAATAAAGATATTTAAAAAAAAAAAAGCTTCCTGTTTCGTGTACTTCAGATTCATGGATATCATGTTCTGGGGCCACATTGTCCTAGATCCATTCTGTCCTGCAGGGCAGAAGGTGACCCTGTGGTGACGGCGAGCTCCAGCAAGGGCAGGCCCAGAGCAGACCCAGCTGGGCTCGGTCTGTACAGAGCAGCTCTTCTCACAGCATCATTCAGGACTCACCGGGTAATCTTAAAAAATAGTTTATTTTTTAAAACCATTAAGGCAAAACTGTGCCCTGAAATTAACCTTTTACATTCACCAGTCTTACAGTAGGACATTCCAAACCTAAGTTCTCATGAATTCAGGAAACAGATCAACGAGTGTGGTCAGTTCACTCTCCTAAGAGGAAAGTGAAGACCCAAGATCTAAAAGAATTAAGGCCATGCTATAGCCATTTCCACATCACCTGGAACCAATCAGTTACCATGACTAGAAAAATGACACCTGCTTTCCTGTGCACACCCTGGATTCCTGAGGTCCTGGATGTCCCCATACCTGGGGAGGACCCTGGAGCCAGCTTGACGATTCCAACTTGAAACTGCTGCATTTACTAGAGCGAGGAGAGGGCTCTGAGCCCGAGCACTGAGGGCGAGAGGCACATAGGAGCGGTAACCATGACTGGCAAACGCTCTCCCCAGGGTTTTAGCATAACAGCACGGTGGATCCCTGTGGGTGTCAAAAATATACACCACAAAGAAATTTGGCCAAGAAACTGAAAAGGACGTGTGGGAGGCTCCTAGGCTCTGTGCTTCTGGTTGGGCCATCGAAGGCCACCATAGAACCTGCAGGTGCAAACAATAGTGTTCCAGATGGCTAGAGCTCTTTGGTAGTAACCCATAGGTGGTGCCCTGAAGAGCAGGAGCTGTTTACCAAGCAGGAATACACAATGGTCCAATCAGAACACTAGTACGAAGTGACCTGCAACCTGGGGTCTGTGGAGGCTTTGCTGGTAGAAATGCATAAAGACAGACTTGCACTTCTGCATGTAGGGGATGCTGAAGGGGGATCTACACACTGAGATAAAGCCTGCATGGCTCAGAAGAGAAAAACTGGTGTGCGTGTGTGCGCGTGCAATTGCATTTCAGTTGTTTTGTCTCAGCTTCATTTTCAGTAGGTTCACGAGTCAGCCTTTTAAGCATGTACATCACAAACGCTGATTTAAGAAAACAAATGTTTGCTGTTAGATGTATGATTGCAAGTTAGCTGTTTGTATTTTTTTTTTTGGGGGGGTACTGTAATTGAACCCAGGGGTGCTTAACCACTGAGCCTCATCCCCAGCCTTTTTTTTTTTTATATACTTTATTTGGAGACAGGGTCTCGCTGAGTTGCTTGGGGCCTCGCTAAGTTGCGAAAGCTGGCTTTGAACTTGTGATCCTCCAGCCTCAGCCTCCCAAGCCTCTGGGATTATAGGCGTGTGCCATCACGCTGGTTATATTGGGATTTTTTTTTGAAAACTCAAGTCACAGTATTTAAGATATAGTTATTGACGTGATTCTTTTTACCATACAGTGTTGATAAGGTAGTGGCATTCAACATGAGTAATACTGTAACCTTACCAAGAAGGGCATTACGTGGTGTTCACTTATTGTGAGGTATATTTCATTTTAGGCCTGGAAAAGGAACTGACTGTGTCTTTAAAGAATGAAATTTCCAAAAGTGATGGACTCTCCAGAAGGCCAGCCACTGGGCGATCTCCAGGGCCAGAGCCCATCCTCGCTGACTAAAGGTAGAGGTGAGGCCCCAGGGGTTCGGGGAAGGTGGAGAGAGGGTCCCTTGCAGTTTGGGACATGGCAGCTCACACACCCCTGCCGCTGGCCTCACCGCTTGTCCTAGGCAGCACCACGGTGGTGCCAGGGCTGGCTTGTGCCTGGCGTCCATGGTGCCGTGTCAGTTCATCAGATTCAGGGACTTGTGATGGCGGGGAAGACAGTGAGAGCAGGAGGCTGGCCTCTCTTCTCAAGAAAAAACCTTGGAGGTTTTCACTGTTTAGCCGACTGGCAAACTTTAAAACAAAACAGAACGTCACAGGTCTCACTGCGCTGTCTGTGAAGTAAAAATGGACGTTCCTTGTTTCTCTTTGCCATCAACAGCTGCAGGGCCATTAAGTGCTGGTCGTGGTCAGGTGCCCTGATCCCACTGCGATGTGGATGGACACCACTGGGTCGTACTCGCTGGCTGAGAACTCGGAGAGGATCTGGCAACATGTATCTCAGCGGGACCACGGGAGTGGGGGGTGGGGGAGTAGCCTGGCTTCCCTCCCAGGAGGGGCTCTCTAGGGAGAAAGGAACCCATTAGGTTTCTCATGTCTCAGACTGAGACTCTGAGAAGCAAGTGGGCGGCTAACGGGACTCCAGCTCTGAGAGGCCTCAGGGGTCCTGGGGCTACTCACAAGGGGACAGCAGCCTCTCCCTGCCCTCTCAGGAGGGGCCACACACCACCTTTTTCTGATGAGCCTGCAGCTCTGCTGAAGTAAAGTTTGAGAACTCGCTGCAGCCCACTGAGGTGCCCCAGGGACAGCACTGTGTGTCATTAAGCCAGAGCATGCATAAGGGTCCTTATCTGTTTTCAAACAAAATTTCCAATTTCACATTTCAGTGTGACTTTAAAGAAATAAAATGGCCTCCTACATTCATAGCCAGACCAAATCTATTGCTCTAATTCCTACCCTAGTCTGCTTAACAGGCAGGGTGGGGGGGGGCGGCAATGAATTTTCCTCAATTCTATTAAAATGGCACCTAATTATGTGTGTGTGCGTGTGTGTCCCAGAAAAAACCTAGACACCAACCTTTGAGCTCTCTCTGATATTTCTAGATAGAAGGTCTTGGAGGAGTACATGACTTGGAGAAAGGCCAGGTGATGAGTCAGTGATGTAGCAGATCCCTTGGTAAGAGGTCCCCGGCTGTCACCAGCACAGCGGAGGCAGATGGAGACCTATCTGTCACCACCCTTTGTTTGCTGCTCAAAGCTGAGCTGCCTTAGAGCTTTCTCTGTAATATCTGTGGACGTGATGTCTGAAGATGGGCTAGACTGTCAGCTCTCACTGTCCCTGTCCCTGGGAAGGTATGCAAGTCCCCTGTGATGACGACTCATTGGTCAGAAGTGTGCCTGTGCAGCTGCCCAGATCTTAGTGCTACTTATAAAGTGACAAATAAAGACAACCCCCCCACATGGCAGTGCCAGCATCACACTGAAACAAGTGTCCTGGGACACCTTTTCATAATCAGCTCAGTGGCATCAAGTTGACTTGCAACTTCTAGAAAGTATGATGCCCTTGCCTATCTTGAGTCTACACCACATCCTTAACTTAGAGGAAGACTCATGAGGTAACTCCTCAGGGCACTGCCTCAAGTCCCCAGGCCACCGCAGTCGGCAGCTTCAGCCGCAAGAACGTGGGCTGAGCAAAGGGTGACCTCCCAGGTCCTGGAGACTCAGGGGACTCCAGCTAGCTTGTTGTCCCTGGTAGGATGGAGGAGGCGGGGAAGGTGGACAGGCACCACACCCTTCCTCCCCAGTCTGGATGTTTCCATTTAAAATGGAGGCAGATTCTGCATCTGTCCCCTCCAGGGGCTGCAGAGGGAGGAGGCCACGGGAGCCCGCCCTGCAGGCTCGGTGCTGAGCATGTTGAGAGGACATGGGTTGAAGAAGTCCTTCGAAGGGGCCAGAGGTCCTCTGACAAGATGCCACTCTCAGCTGGAAGCATAGACTTTCCGGTTGAAACAACGGGTCCTTCTTTAAACCAGATTCAACACAGACACCTGTGGCCACTGGGCCAGGACAAAAATTCCCCTCCATTAGGCATCGGCTGCTAAGTAGCAAATATGCCCCGTGTCACAGTAGGTTGAGAAGGGGCTTACAATGGGAACCGCTTGGAGTCGGACAGAGGAATGCAGAGGCAAGTGACAGCAGAGGGAGGCGTCTGTCAGGGTCTCTCCTACAGAAGGGCCTGGATTATTGTGGTCAGCAGGAGGGAGGGCTCCTGCAGCAGGGCCGTCAAGTCTTGCTCAGTCTTAGCTTCTCTAGGTGCGGGCAGTAACTGTTACACATGGACCTCTGTAAGACTTCCGTTAAACAACAAAACTGCCTTTAGAAAGTCACACGGTCTGCCATCTCCTTGTGTGCGACAGTCAGAGGTGTGTGAGCCATCAAGGAACCCTGACAGCACCGACTGGTATAGAGATGCCAGAAAGGCCAAGGGTTCTGCCCGCCTTAGCTCCAGCAGTGGGGCTGGGCACGCCTATTGAGGTAGCTGCTCCATGAACAGGAGGCGTTTGCCAACTGAGTCGTTCACTTGTCTCTTCTGTCAAACATTTTCCTAGTGCCTTGGGGTTCTAGGCCTCTCTGGGGATGCTGCATTGTCCCTGGACCCTCCACATGATACCAGAGGTGATCCATTCCTTCAGGGTCTTAAATGGCCCAGTGTTAAGAAGGGCCTCAGCACCAGCAGAAAGGTACCTTCATAGCTCTTAAGAAGAGGGACAGCTCTGGTGGCATTCTTGAGTGTGCCAAGTCCTGGGTTTCTTTCTCAACCACTTCACGTTGAATTTCATTTGTGTGGGCACACACTCTTTAGGAAGATGCTTTAAACTTATCAATGAACTGTGTGGAGGTCATGGGGAACAGGCAGCAAGGTGGGAAGAAAGGACCAGCTTAGCTTGCTGGCTGGCGCTCTGAGGACGGCACTGCTGTGAGTCCTGCTGGCATAACTGGAGGCCTCTAATTAAGTCGATCTGCACTCACCCCGTTGGCCTGGTGCCCACAGGCGCTCAGGTTTCCCAAGGATGGTAGGTACAACATTCAGTGTGCCAGAAGCTCTGCTGGAACACCAGGAGGCAGGAGAACAGGGACTCACTGAGCAGAGAGGGTCCCATCTGGCTGTGAGCCCTACAATCTCAGCTGCACCCCTGCTTGTGCCTTATTCTACTCAGCATCTGGGGCACAAGGGTTATGTGCAGTCTGGGAGTCTGGCACTTGTTACTGTTCAAAGGCGAGAAAGTGAAGAACTGGGAAAGTTGGAGATTTTGTTTGCTGCCTGAGGAAGTGGGTGCCACCCATGTGGTCTAGAGGTTCCTGACCTGTCACACACGTCTCTGCTGTACTTTTTGCTGATGCCCAGTGACACCTAGCAAATAGTGAGTGCACTCTTGGTTGCTCCTATTGAAGTGCTGCCATCTGGTGCATGATCATCCAGACTGGATTATTGATACCCTGAGAAATCTTTGATTAAGTGATCCAAGACATTCAGCATTGCGTGGCCATTAGGGACTGATACTGAGATGGGACATGTGATTTTCCTTCCTATTAGCAGAGGTGAACAATGTCAAGTGACTTCTGGGCAGAGGTCTGTGGTCTCCAGCTCCACTGGGGATATCACTGGTCACCTTGCTGGGCCTAAGAGAACCAAGGAAATGAATTGCAGCCTTGGCATCTCAGAGTGGGCGTTCTCCGCATAGGCAACAACACTGATGCGCCGTGCCCTGCAACCTGAAGGCTGGCTTCCCTCGCAGTGAGGCCAACCCCCGAGTGGGACCAGACATGGAAATACTTTTCTCTGGACTTCTGATTCCTAGGACACTTGGGCAGACTGCTTGCTGGTGGTCAACAGATCCTTTGGATCATATTTTATTTATTTATTTATTTGTTTTTGTACTGGGAGTTGAACCCAGGGCCTCGCACATGATAGGCCAGTACTCTACCACTGAGCCACATCCCCAGCTGGATCATAGTTTTTAAAAAAGAAAAAAGATAGGGATAAATGTAATTTTTAAAAAGGATGTTTGAACCAAAATTTTCACTTGTTTTCTAGCTGAAATCCCCAGTCCTTTTTATTGGTGCCTTTTCCCAGTGCTGATCCCAGGAACTTTATCAGGACCAATCCTACTCATTCTTGAACAACAAATACTATTAACCTCAGAAAAACCAAATTTCCTAAAGATGGGGGTGGCACACAGGATCCAGCCAGGGCTTAGATGTGCACAACCCCGAGGAGAGGAGGCAGTGATATAGCAGGCTCAGCCCACCTCTGGCTGGAGCAACTGCCGGATGTTCTCCATGTGCGTCACCTGCCTGGTGGACAGAGGGAAAGGCCTCCAGGACTGTAGTTTCTAGACAAATAATGGGCAAAAACCAATGTTTTAGACATTGAGAACACTGCCTCACGTAGGTAGTAGGAACAGAAGCCTTGCCTATCTCGGTGTTTAGTAAAACCAAACAAAACCCAACCATGGTGAAATCTGAGAGCAGGCAGGACTGTCCCATGCAGGACACCACACCTTGCCCTGTTCTCCAGGACCACCCTGCCCAGGTGACAAAGGCACATTTGCCTCATCTTCACTCCAGGGAGCTTCTCCAATTAAAAAAAAATTAACCATCATATTTTAAAAGGCAATGCAAGAAATGACAAAGGGACTGCCGAATGGGCCAGAGGGACACAACACTCGTCAGTTTGTCCCTAAAACTGATCTCACACCTGCAAACAGCCTGACTGAATGCAGGTTGACAGGAGTGGGGGGTGGGGGAGAACACTCCCCGAGGGCCCCTCCTGCTCACCAGACACCAGCCTCAGCCCACCGCGGGTCTTGGGAGGTCTTGGGATCATCCACACCCACCCAGAAATGGGCTTTTCAACGTATGATTTGTGACCATGAAAACGGTGAGCCAAAAGCACACAATGGCCAGATCTCCATAGCTCATCAAATCCTTCTTGAAAACTCTCAATCCTATGATTAAAAACCAGCCCACTGTCTTTCTTCCAATTCAGGAAATGGAACTGAAGTCTTCCAAATAAATATTTCACTGCTTTTTAAATATGTAACCTTTGGCTATATCTAGATTTATAGGATTATAAATGTTAAAAAGTGCTGATTAGTTTTCCAAATTATAAAGGAGTACAACAGTCAAAAGGGTGGGAAGAAGGGAAAGACCAGGTATTTTGAGGTTACTCATTAATCAAATGGCAAATTACTAATGTGATATAAAGATATGTGCACCGATTAACACTGGGCTGGTGAAAATCAGACCCTGTACCATCACTCCCCTTAATCTCCAAGTGCGGACTGTTCACCCTGTCGCCAGCGCCTGAGTACTAGGCACATTCTTAGATGTACTGCTGGAGAAGGGGAAGACGTGGAGAGGAGCATTACCGTCACCCAGCCCTCAGGCTTCCCAGTGTCTGAGACTAAAAGGCTGGAAATCTGTGCAAATCCATGCTGCTCCCATTTCTCCTTGAAAAGTGGTTGCCGTGCATTCACAGAGATCAGTACATGTCCCTGTAGATCTCCTGCAGCAAAGGGTGCAGAGCTGCATCCGACTCTGTCTTTTTGATGGTCTGCACGAGCTGTGCGTGTTCTGTGACCAGCTGCCGGAGGTCCACCATTTTTTGAAGGAGCTTTGGGAAGAGAAAGGCGTCGTCCGGATGGTTGCTCTGCAGGTGGAGTTTGAGCACGTGCACAATGCCCTCCTGCATTTTCTCAATGTGTCCTATGTTGAGAAGGCCAGGACGGTCTGTTCTCGAAGGAAGAGAGAGATGTTCAAGTAAATAATCATCTCATAACTGCTTATCAGCCTGGGGACCAGACACTCCTACCTCACACGGCCTTCAGATGTCAGCCTGATCAGGACCCAATAAGGACGACAGGAATGAGTCATTCCTCAGTAGTCACACAACCAGGACACAGTCCCTCCTTACGTCCCCCTTGCAGGGGACCCCCTTTTGGATCTGCCTGACTAACACCTGTCAGGGAAAAGAACTAAAAGCCTCGGGAGCAGTGGCACATCGTAGTGGCAGGTGACCACTCTCGTACCACGGGAATGCAGTCCTTCTCTCCCAGCCTCAAGCTCCCCCAGAGATGAAGCAGTGACTGTGTGGGACTTAGGCTGGTGGGTTAAGGACAGCACTGTCACAGGCACCTTCTGACATGACTCAGGTGAAAGAGGAGAGCAAGAGATGAATGAGGCTGGGGTGGACAGGATGCTGAGGAGACCTGGAGTGTGGAGGACTTCCCCTGGACAGTCTCAGCCCGAGTCCTGATCTTGGTCCAGAAAACACTGCCCCATTCACACCCAGCAGGCAGGGGTTGAAGGCCCACTCATTACTGTGCTCTTCAAGCGTGGATAATGAAGGGAAATTTTATCTTCATTTTTTTTTTTACTTGTAAAGTAAATATAAGTATTAAGTTTTTAACAGAGAAATCATTTAAAAGACAGACCACCTCTCTTGTAATTTTAACCCCACCTAATAGATTTAACCTATCTCACTGGACATGGCTAGATACACAGGATTAGTACAGTACTATATCATCCTTTCTACTACGTCTTGATCAAACAAAGGACAGTTATCAATTGTGCATGCCTCTTGCCCTTGCATCATTGCTGCTGGGCCATAGCAGCAATTCCTTCCATCTGACCAGTGCCCAGACAGATGCCAGCAGGTAGAGTGAGGAGATCATGGTGGACAGCACAGCTGTGGCAGTGGGTGACTGCCCGCCCCCCCCACTGGTCTCTGCCTAGGCTGGGCAAGGTCAGCTGAGTTTACAGTAGGTGGATGACTTTCCTAGACTTGAGACATGGCTATTTAAAGAAACATGACACTGAGCCAAAAATCTGGCGTTGCAGAGCAGCTCCACAGAGAGGCCCGATTTCCCTGCCTGGGATCTGTTTCCTCTGGCAGAGCAACACTCGGGATTGCTGCCCGCGAACAACCAGTATTTTTCATTGTGAAGTAGCATAAGTGTTACCAAGAGTGACAGCTGTCATACCAACATCTGTATGGCACTGTATAGAACATTAGCTATAGCATGGATAGAGCAACAACAGCTGTGTTGAATATTAATTAGTACTATAGAATGCCATCCTATAGTACCAATGAAATCTGATATGCTTGTAATGCTAGATATAATCACATTACTGTGGAGCATATAAAATCATCATCAATGTTTATATAATATACAACGGTGTACACCATAATATCACACAACACTGCCAGGGCTCCCCCATAACTCCGCTCGGTGGCAGCTCCGGCTTAGGCACCTTCCCCCCTTGCAGTGCCCATTTTGACATAATGGAGCTCAAGCTGGCACTGGGATGACAGTTACCAAGTCCCTCAAGAGAGGAGCCCGTAAGTGACTGGACACCAGTGGATTAAGTCGAGTACTTACCTCCACAGCAAATTATAGCAGCCACAAAAAGGGAGATGTCACTGTCGTCCAGCTCCAGTGCATTGAACTTCATGGCGAAGTCAAACTTGGGTTCCATGATGTCACAGAAAGGTTTTCTCAGATTTTTCAGGAATTCCCGTGTTATGAAGCCATTGCCATATGCCACCAGCATCCCATCTTTGTTCATCATGGAGGAAAGCATTGTGAATATGGCCTCATAAACGCCATATTTGAGCAAAGTGACTTGGTCATTCAAGTCCAAGTTTGCAAAGCCTGGGATGGCCTTGGCGAACTCCGTGAGCTCTGTGACGGTCTCCACCGACATGCACTGGCAGCAGTGGAAGAAGCGGACCTCGGCCTCCTTGTTCTGGATGCCATTGGCCACCATCTTGGCTACAAGAGTCTTTTCAGCCATGCACAACGTTTCCATGTCATGGATGACAAAAGGCTGAAAAGAAAGACCCTTACATCAGGCAGGCAGGTCATGATGAGCTATCTAAGTGCTGAGTCCTGATATAACTAGGTGCTCTTAGTTATGGTAAACCAGTGAGGAGCTACCAAGTCCAGGTCACAGCCCCATAACTGTGTACACTTTTTAAAAGATGTTAAAACCAAGTTCTGGCGATGGAAGCAGAGACGGTTAGCCACGTTATCAGCATGGGGTGATGTGTCTGGTGAGGCTGAGAACAGGCATGAACCAGCTGCTGGCCAGAATTAACATCTCTGTGCCAAGCAGGAGGAATGACAGCATCTGGGGGATCTGACTTATGGCCTGTCCCACAGCACACACGTGTGCTCACACACACACACACACACACACACACACACACTCACCACATCAGTAAGGAAGTGCGGCCAGCACCATTTTGGGGCCCACCTGGCACACTGAAGCACAGAGCAGCAGCAGCTCAGTGGTTTTGAGAATAGTCTGCCAGAGGCCAGACACACCACTGAACACACCCGGCCCTGCGGCCTGAGTGCTCCCTATTTCTGGGCTGTCGAGCATCGCCAGGAGCTGCAGTGTTGAACCTCAGTGAGGGCTGCTGGGTGGGCCTGCAGCACACGTGGATAGGCTGGGGACAAGCAGGCTGCCTGCGAGATGTTTAAGAACTGGAACTTATAGATAGCACAGAAGTAGACAAAAACCTGACTCCACCTGAGGAAAGGCGACACTACCTGTACTTGTGAGTGAGAGCACATTCTCAGCACAAAATTCAAAGCAGCCAGGCGCTGTGGTACACGCCTTTAATCCCAGCTACTCAGGAGGCTGAGGCAGGAGGACCACGAGTTTAAGACCAGCCTGGGCAACTTCGCAAGGCCCTGTCTCAAAAAACAAACAACAACAAAACTGAAAGCCAACTTTCTAAATAGCTCAAATCTGAATAAGGAAGACAAAACAGTCTCTTTCCAACTTTAACCACAGGCCAGATGGGTGGGCACCATGGTGCACACCTGTAATCCCAGCGACCCAGGAGGCTGAGGCAGGAGGATCACAAATTTGGAGCCAGCTGAGCAACCTAATGAAATCCTATCTCCAAAAAAAAAAAAAGAAAAGAAAAGGGCTGGGGATGTGGTTCAGTGGTAAGTGCCCCTAGGTTCAATCCCTAGTATTGGGGGGAAAACATCAGGCCAGATAACCATTGTTTTGAAAAAAATTGGAGCATAGTTATGCTTCACAAAAAAAATGAAGCACAGATTTAAAGAATTGATATTCACAGGGTGGACCAGAAAGACACACACAGTGACCTCTGCATCTGTGGGTTCTGCATTCTGCATCCGCAGAGTCCAAAAAAAAATTGGATCAAAAATATTTTTTAAAAAAATTGTGTCTGTACTTGAGCTGGGTGCGGTGGCGCACACCTGTAGTCCCAGTGGCTTTGGAGGCTGAGGAGGAGGATCGCAAGTTCAAACCAGCCTCAGCAAAAGTGAAGCACTAAGCAACTCAATGAGACCCTGTCTCTAAATAAAATACAAAACAGGGCTGGGGGTGTGGCTCCGTGGTTGAGTGCCCCTGAATTCAATCCCCGGTACCAAAAAAATAAAAATAAAAAATTTGTGTCTGTACTGAGTCTGTACAAGCTTCTCCCTGCCCACCACCCCCAGCAGTGTTGGGGATGAAACCCAGGGCTTTGCCCACGCTAGGCAAGGGCTTTGCTATTGAGCTACACCCCCAATCCCCAGACATGTATTTTCTTGTCATTATTCCCTAAACACAGCATAACAACTACTTCCATAGTATTTATATTGTATCAAGCATTAGAAATCCTCTAGAGATGACCTTCAGTATATGGGAGGATGTGCATAAGTTCTCAGCAAATTCTACCCTATTTTAAATAAGGGTCTTGAGCACCCTGGATTTTAGCATCCATTGGCTTACTGGACTCAGTCCCCCACAAATACAGAGGGAAGACTGTATTTTTGAAGGATAAATGGGAATATTCTCTCAATTACAGGAAAACATACTAGTAGACCACTTTACCTTTATTCAAATAACTGTCATATTTTCTTTCATTTTTCTTTGGTGTCACTGGGGCTCAAACCCTGGGTCTCACTCTACCAAGCAGCTGTGTCCCTGGCCCATAATTGTTTTCTAAAGTACATAAATGAAGGTGTTGAATAAGTAAAGTGGTTCTATGGTTTAAAAAAAAATTAGAGCAGTTCTGAGTTAAATCTTGGGACCTCCCAGAATCTTCACCATGGCAAATGTGTACTGCAACTCTTCCAGAATGAGGCTAGGTGAGTGGAGGCTAGAGTACAAGTGGAGGAGGGGGAGGAGGAGGGGGAGGAGGGGGAAGGGGGGAGAGGGAGGAGGGGGGAGGGGATGGGGGAGGAGGGGGGAGACTTTTTTGGGGGTGGGGATAGAGCATCTCACAGGACCAGAGTCAGCCCAGCTACATAATTTTTGTGATTTAAAGTAGCAAAATGAAAAGGTGGGCCCTCTTTGAGAAGGGATTAAGACTTCCAAGACAGGCTGGGGTTCAATTCCTAGTACTACATAAAAATAAATTAATAAAATAAACCTATAAAATGAAAGAATCATATATATAAGTAAAACTACTTCCAAGTCGGCCTCAGTCAGCCCTGGAGAGTGAAGCTGGTGGGTGAGGCTGGCACAGGACAGCACTGTGTGGAAGAGATGCTCAGGAACAGGCAGAGAATGGAGATGTGAGCTAATGCTGTCTCGATTCGTCTTTATAAAACCATCACTTGGATTCTAGAAAGCAGGCCTCATCTAACAGGCAAAATTGGAAACCATTTGATTGGAAAAATGGTTGCTAACATCGAGAACCTAAAGCTTGGTAAGAGAAACTCTGTTGAAACTCCCTCGAAAGTTTGCCACACTGTATCGATGAACATTTTGTAAGGCGATCTTTTTTTTTTTTGTGGTGCTAGGGATTGAACCCGGGGCTTTGTGCATGCAAGGCAAGCTCTCTACCAACTGAGCTATATTCAGCCCCTTGTAAGGTGATCTTTAAAACCCATGCATCTTGTGCTTAATTCTGAAATGTTTTTTTTTTGGTACTAGGGATTGAACCCAGGGGTGCTTAACCACTGAGTCATATCCCCAGCTCCCTAAGTACCTTTTTCTTTTCTTTCTGTGAGATAGGGTCTAAGTCCTTAAGGCCTCTCGGAGTTGCTGAGATGGCTTTGAACTTGCTATTCTCCTGCCTCAGCCTCCTGAGCAGCTGGGATTACAGATGTGTGCCACCACTCCTGGCTGTAATGTGCTTTTTATAATGATAGATCTGACATCACAGCCTGCCATTTCAATAAAGCATGCTGCAGATTTTGGACAGCGGGAGACAAAAAGTGCCAATTTCCTCAAAACCACTCTGAGGTAAGACCAGAGAGTGCCCCTACTTGACCCAGCACTGTCCCTGCTCACACATTGCTGGGTTCTACGGTGCCCAAAGACATCACTCATGAGAATCAGTCTCTAAAGTGTACTTCGACATTGAAAAGTCAGGCCACTGGTCTGTCTGGAAAAAATTAAATGTGAATCCTTGGTAGAACTGCTTTGGGTAAAACTAGCAGGCTCTGGTTATGCTTGCCTATAAATTCCTATACACAGTATTAAACTCCGTGTTCTTCAATATGAAAATGCCGTAAGGGGCAGGTATAATATTTGACCTTAATACAGCAGCAAGCCCACAATATGGTAGGAGGTGACATCCATCAGGAGAAGCAGTTCTGCCCTGACACGCTACTTGGGGACACCTTTACTCCACAGACTCTGAAATGTTGAGGACACGTCTTTCAGAATGACTTTCAGAACCTGACATGAGTGCGATGCCCCTGTCATTACTGTATTCATGGGACTGAATGAGGCTCTGGTTTGTGAGGCTGACATGCAACAGTACTGGGCATCCAGCCGTGTGAGGGCCTGCGTTCAGGCCCCTGCACTGGACACTATGTGATCATGACCTTACACTTTGAATTTCTACAGTCTAAATATTTAGTGCCAAGGGTTTGTTTGGTTGGTTTCACCACTTTTCAGAAGGTACAGCCAGCTCTCCAAACTAAGAGCAGCTGCCTGAGCAAGTGTGTGCATGCCTGAGTGTGCCTGAGTGTGGAGCAGGTGCACAAGCGTGTGCGAGCATGCCCGTGGAGGGAAGCAAACATCCCAGGACAGCTGCTGGCCCTTGAGAGCTCCCGACCCACCTAGGATTGCTCTAAGAAGCTGTTGAAACACCTCTGTGGAAGCCATGCCCAGAGGAGACCCCTGTTCCCTCTTGCCCCTCCACCCTGCTTCCACTGGGTCACCCTCAAGTCAAGGGGCAGCAAGTTTCCCTCCACTCTGGCCCCATCACTAAGGGCCCTGACCATTTTCTGGTACAAGGACCTGAAACCTCAGGGACCGAGACCAGTCCCAGGTCCAGACAGAAGCAGAAGGTCTCACGTGTCTCCTCAGCTAAAACCCACCTTTCACCAAAGCAGTGTGGCCTCCCTGCAGCTGCCTCCCCTCCCAGCAGTGTCCAGGGACTTTGCTGCAGGTGACTGGTCTGCATAGAGCAAAGGAACGGTCTTCCACAGGCCGTGCTCAGTCCCCTATTTCTAGAAAACCACAGGAGCCTTTGACATGCCACCTGTCCAGCACCTACTTGTCCCCATTAAGGTAGGGAATGGTTTAGGGCCAAGTGCTGGTCAGAGCTTAGGAGGGGGCTGATGGCTACTCGCACCCGCCCAGCAGATCTGCAAGGAGCAGGAGGAGGTCTGCACTGAGGGCCGAAGGGCCACCTTTCCCCAGCACACTGGTCATATTTGTCCTGGTTGTGCAATTCATGCTCCTCCTGAAGAAGAAGCAGAAATGAAGTCAGCTGCAGGCTTCAGGCCTGAGGCTGGCGGCCTCTCTACAGCTCTGCTGGAGGCTGGAGGCAGCCGAAAGGTCGTCCCAGGCTGAACTTGATGAAGCAGTCACTGAGTATTGGGCTACTGGGCAGGGACAGAGTGAATGCCTGGTCTCCCTAGCAGAGTTCTCACCAACAGATGGGACTGCTTTCTAAATCAGCAAGCTAGAGACTGGGGCCTTCCCCGGCCCCTGGCAGAGACAAAACCAGAACTCTGTGAAGAGTTCTCGGGCAGTGTGTCCTGGTGGAGGGCACCCTGCCAGTCAGGCCTCTCCCAGGCTGGGTGCAGATGGAGGAGCAGAGAGGAGGCCTGTGGTGAAGGCCAGGTGCTCTGTAAGCCTGCCAGCAGATGGGCAGGACCCATGGTGGGACATGACCTGGCCTGGAGCTGACAGTGTGGTCAAATGCAACGAGTGACCTGCAGCTGGACATTGCAGGGTGCCTGGCACAGAGATGTGTGGGCAAGAGCAGGCATCTGGCTCTTTGCCAAGTGAACCCCAACCTAGATGGTAACCTAGTGCATTTCTCCTGTGTCAGTGTCCTCAAGAGTCTGACTGCCCCAGCTCTGGCCGAGGCTGGGGGAATTCCTCATGGAGCTTGTGGATCTCGGTGGAGAGAAGCAGAGGAAACTGTGGGGACCAAATCAGCATCAAAGATCAGTATTTTATTAAGTGTAAAAGTGACTTTTAAGTGTGCTTCAAATTCTTTAAATTCAAGGGAGAAATGTAAGATCTCAAACGGAAGTTTTGGTTCTCCTAATTTGGGGTTCTCTTAGCCATCTCCGGGACAGAAATGTAAAGTTAAAGGCTACTCCCTCCACTTCACCCTACAATCCAGAAAGGGGCCACCTGGTGTGGTGCTTGCTGGAGACTTTTAAAATCTCTCATCCTATTTGACTGGAGAATGCATGGAAGAATTCAAAGGCTCAGTAAAAGAGAGGTTTGGTTTGGTCATGAAATTAAGCAGCTCATGAAATCCTTTATTTTACTGTGACTAAAAATTCTAGCTTATAATTCCCAATAAGGAATGTTTCGGTATTCATTAACACAGATTAAACCTGTCATACCATGCTCAAAGGGGAAGGCAGAATGACGTGTGACCACCCTAGGACCAAGCCCTGTGAAAGCTGATGGGACACCACTCCTGACATGGAGACAGGTGCATAAGCCTGCAGGGGGTGGGGAGAGGGTACATCTTAGCTGTCCCTAAAAAGGTCCAGAACTATCCACAAAGTCAGCCGAGTTTCTAGAAACAAAGGAGCCTTTCTAGGGCTTCCTCACTGCAGGGAGGGAAGGCAGGAGGTGTTGGGGACTGGAGGGAAGGTGGAAGCCAGTGGGCCAGTTTTAGGGGAAAGGATATGAGGGCATATTTTGAATAAAAAGTGAACACATTAATTTTCTGGCCTCAAATAAAGATTTTTTTTTTAATGCACCTAAGAAACGATGCTGGCTAGGCATGGTGGTGCATACCTACAATCCCTGCAACTTAGGAGGCTGAGAAAGGAGGATTGCAAGTCTGAGGCCAGCCTGGGCAACTTAGCAAGACCCTCAGCAAATTCGTGAGACCCTGTCTCAAAATAAAAAATGAAAAGGCCTGGGAAAGTGGCCCAGTGATTCAGAGCTCCTGGTTCACTCCCCTGGGGTCCCTGGCAGCACATGAACCAGACCTCTCTCAGTGTGTCAGCTACACAGCCTTGATGAGCACTTGCTTGCTAGGCGTTCCAAGGTGCACTCAAGCAAGAAGCGTTGCTCTAAAGCTACATGTTAGTCTGGGAATGAACCGTCTGCATTCCCACTGCCTTTCGTTTGCCTTTGGGATGAACACCATCTTTCCCACACTGAGGTTTCCTGGGTCCCTCTCTACAGCACTGATTGAGGCGTTGCCAGGGGAATACTTGAGACCCTACCAAAGGGCAGCAAAGGCACCTACTGGATTGTGGCCCGTCTTTCCCGCGAGGATGACTCGGGCTTTGACCTTGTTCATTTGAAAGTTCTTCAAGTAGGCCTCGTAAATTCTCTTGGCAAGAGACTTGAGATCTGCAGTTTCAGAATCTTCTACATCATGTTCACAGGTAAGAATTTCTGCTTTCAATTTTGCTTTCTCAGATCTTGGCATTCGTCCAAAACGAATTGCTGAGGTGGGGGTGGGGACAACGGGAAACAAACATAAATAAGCAACGTGGGGAGAAGATCAGGCAAATGTCAGCAGGTTGAGGAGGGCCGGCCAGCAGCTCCTGGTGTCACACTGCGCGAAGGGGCCTCACGGGGGTCCAGCCCACTCCTACTGCCACGCGACCTTCTACCAAGGAGAGAGAAAACAGCCCAGCCTCCAGAAAGCTAGGTTTCTAAAACAAGGTTAAAATAAAAGCTAACGCCATCCCTCGCGTCATCAGCAGGACAGCTGACTGTCCTCGGGTGGAGTGGCCTTCATGGTGGGGGTTGAAACGAGTGAGCAGAGACGAGCCTGCGGGAGCCCCTCCTTTACACGACTTGCGCGCGGAAGCCAGCCATTCTAAGATCGCATCTGGCTGAAGCAGAGTGTGACAAACCCCGAGCATGGCACATGCCAAAGCTGGCCCGCACCTCACAGGGAGTGGCCCTCCTGCCACCCTGGTGAGAGCACTGCCCACCGCGTGAGGCTTCCAAGACAACCCCGCACAGGTGCTCTGCCCAGCCACTGCTGTGTCCTCCCCACATCTGTGTCCTCAGGCTTCTCTGGGTACAGGAAGACTCAGGCCTGGCATGTTCCCAGCATCTCATGCAAAACCTGGTCCATTCTGAGGACTGGGAAGTGGACTGCGGCACGGACAGCGCTGTGCGGGCAGCCTTACCTACCGTTGTGTGACATCCCAACGGACAGGCACTTGTGGAAGCGACAGTACTGGCACTTATTCCGATTCTTTTTCTGGATCTTGCAGTTGCGGTCACATTTGTCATATACCAGCTTTAGCCGGATAGTTCTCCGAAAGAAACCCTGCAAGAAGAATGTGTGGCTCATTAAGAATAGGCATGGCTGGGACACCTTGAGATCTTCACTCACCTGTTCTGTTCATTTGTTGTCTCTTTTTAAATGACCTGTGTTTAGAGAGACAATCTTCTTAAAAGTCTCACATAACTGGGACAGATAGAAAACTTTAGCTTTTCATTGCACTTAAAATGAACAACAATAAATGAGGCAGATTCAAAGTAATTTCAAAATGTCCCATTGTGAACATGCCTAGATCTCTCAAACGCCATATGTACAGAGTAACAAACCTGAGAATGTGTGTGCAGAGCCATCACAAAAGGGCGTGATACTTCAGCAGACCTGCAGGATGTGACAGGTCAGGGTCCTTCTGTAAGGACTGGTCTAGGAGCAGCTGCTGGACCACAGAGCCTGCCTTGTGTACTCCTGGTCCTGATCATGTCTGTCTGGCTAAGATATGCATGGGGTGTGGGTGGCTCCAATGGAGAGGTCCCCTGAATACAGGGATGAAGTGCCAGAGGCTCAGAAATGGTGGCAGAGGAGCTGAGCCCAGGTGCTGCCCTCCTGGGCCAGGCACTGTGGGGCCTGAGCAGAAGTCTGGACTCCTGGCGTCGCCAGATCCTCACCTGCTACATGGGAGCAAGAGCCTTACCTGGCCCAATCAGAGGGTCAACAGATAAGTGGGTAGACACGCTCCACATTAAAGCTGGTTTTCTGTCCAAGGACACCCTTATCTCAGTTATGTACAAGCTGAAGTAGAGCAACCTGCCGGACTCTGCGATGGGAGGAGTCAGCCCGTCCCGGGGATCAGTACCCCTCTGCGCCTTCTTCGGGTCTCTCAGCAACAGACATCTGTGTCGGAGACAGCAGTAGGCCCCCCCACCCTCACCCGTGCCACTGTACCTTGCAGCCTTCACATGCGTGGACCCCATAGTGGTAGCCCGAGGCCTTGTCCCCACAGATCCTACACTCGATGTTCAGTGTGCCACTGGGAGGCTCATCCACGCTGCCAGGAACCACAGGGTAACTAACTGAAGAGGGACTCGAAGCTGGAGAGAGGGTGTCTACAGAAAGAAGAGGAACGTGTATGAACATTCCCGGTGTCACGCCCTATGGAAGCCAGGCCCTTCTGCCGCGGAGGCACATCGTGTGTGGTGTAAGCTGGGCAGCTGCCCATCCTGCGCTGGCCCTGTCCCTGGGCCATCCTCTCTCTGCTCCCTGAGGACCATAGTGCTGGGCTCGGGAGCTGCTGTGCTCTAGTTAGCACCTGCTGAACTGTGTCCTGGGCTGCACAGTGTCACGGTGGCCTTTGATGGGCCTCCGCCTGTGGGCTCCACATGCCTCTGCAGAACTCCTTCCTTCCAGCAGTTCTTCTGCAACAGTCAACACAGGAAACGGGGGCAGAACACAGGACTAAAACCTCCACGGGCAACCCTGCGAGCATAATCCAGGGGAGAGAAGTGAACTAAGCTGGGACTTGGGGAAGTTCAGAACTTCTGTTAAGAAAATGAAAAGCAAACCACAGACTGGGAGAAAGTGTTCACAAATCCCATCTGAGACTTATATCCAAAATCCACAGAGGAGCCGTGAACTCAGAAATAAGAAACAAGCAACTCGATTAAAATGGGAGAAAGATCTGAAGAGACACTTCTCCAAAGAAGCAAGACAGACGGCTAGAGAGTCCATGAAGGGAGGCTTCACAGCACCTGTCCCCAGGGAACTGTGAGCCCAAGCAGCGGTGGCACATCACTACGCGCCCATTAGGCTGTTGAGAACTTCTAAACACCTAACAATGGCTGACCCTGGTGAGGACCTGGAGCAGCGGGTGCTTCTGGCTGCTGGTGGGATGCGGCCTGGAGGACCCTGGAGGACTGCGGGGCAGTTTTTGGCAAAGCCAAACAGTCTTATAATGGGAACTGCAGTTCTAGGTACTTGCCCAACTGATTTGGAAACTGTATCCATACAGAGAACCACACATGAATGTTTATAGCAGCTTTTTTATTTTATTTCATTTTTTCACTATTGGAGATTGGACCCAGGGCCTTACACGTGCTAGGCAAACGCTCTGCCACTATATTCCCAGTCCCTTTTACTTTGAGACAGGGTCTCCCTGAGTTGCCCAGGCTGGCCTGGAACTTGAGATCTTCCTGCCTCAGCCCCCCAAGTACATAGGATTTAGGCATGTGCTACCATGCCTGGCTAGTTTTATTCTTAATTTCCAAAATAGGAAGCAACCAAGATGTCCCTCAATAGGTGAAGAGATAGATTGTGGTACATCCATACAACGGAACATTATTCAGTGTAAAAAGACATGAGCTCTGAAGTTGTGGGAGACATGGATGCTCCCTGTCAAGTGAAAGGGGCAATCTGAAGAGCCCTCGTGACTCCAGGCACACGGTGTTCTCAAAGAGGCTGCACTCTGGTGATGGTCAAAAGGTCAGCTGCTGGCTTGGGGCTGGGGAGGCAGGGCCGAACAGGTGGAGAGCAGGTGCTCTTGAGTGGAGAATGTAGGGGGCAATACATGGCACTGTGCTTGCCAAATCCCACAGAGTTTGACACTTGAGAGCGAACGTTAAGGCAGGAGGAGTCTGGATCCCAGGGTGGAGTGCAGAATGGGAGGAAGCCATCCCACTGAACTGTGTGTGTAAGAAACCCCTCACTAAAGGAGGCGGGGGAACAGGAAACCATAGCCCGTCAGACTGAAGGCACCGGGTCTGCCCAACCCAGTTGACAGAGTGGTCTTCCTAGGAGCACGGGTCAACCATCCAAGGCCACTGTGCAGGCAAGCTGGAAATGAGCTATTAAGTAAGTGGGTGGATGACAGGAGCCAGGTTTCTCTCTGCAGGAGGGTGAGGTTACAGGTAGGCAAGAGGAGGGGTTCAGATGATCCATGTGGTGTGGATTAACGTCACGGGCCGCAGTGTGAACTCATGTTTAGTTTAACATAGATACTGATGGGTGGTGGGGAAGACTGACAGATATGTGTGCGCACATGTGCATTATTAACACAGAGATGGGTGCATGTGGAAAGATGTGCAGATTCGTGTATATATGCGTGTGCTCATGTATACATATACACATGTCTTTGCTCTTTCAGCTGAGAAAGGTCAGGGTCCTTCTGACACCCTTATCTCAGTTATGACCTTAGAAAAAAAGGTCACCTTTAGAAAAAAAAGACACTTCATCACAACCTGACATGCCCAGAGCCAAAAGTACGTGGGGCACAGAGGGGTTGGGTACAGTCCCCCTCCCACAGTAGACAGTCCCAGAATTTGTGGAGCATCTTCAGGTGCAGCCTCCACTCAGAGGGTCTTGCCTCAGCAGTGAGGGGAGATCAGCTCCCAAACAAGGACTGCCATGGTCCTCTCCAACAACGCTCAACAGCTCGGCCTGAAAGGATCGAATGTTTCCAAGTAACTCAACTGCACCCCAGAAAGCAGCTTAGGAATATAAAAGTACCCACCACCCAACAAAGTTCACCACATGTGGAATCCAACCAAAAACATGACAAGACATACAAGTCAGAAAAATGTGGCCCAGGATGAGAAAAATCAATGAACTGGAAGAAGAACTACATAGGCTAGAATTCCTAGCCAAGAACTGAGCATATTCCGAATGTTCAAAAAGCTGGATCAAAGCCCGGCTGCGGGGCCGAGAGAAGGAGAAGGAAAGAACCACGACGTCTGTGTGGAGGGCACACGAGAAGCTCTGACACCCAGAAGAAAAGACCAGAAAACCTGAAGACACAGCAGCACCGACTTCCAACAACAAGGTCGTATGAAGACTTTCAGACTCAGGAGCTGGGCCTCCCGACCAGCAGACCCCATGACAAGGAGCACCACAGGAAACCCCCCAGAAGGGAGCCAGGCCAGGTGGGAATGTGGCACACAAGGGCATCAAGAGCACCAGGAAAGGTGCTTCTGTGGTACATTAAGTGACTCTCCTTCTGTTTAAGTGTCCTAAAAAGATAACTGGCCATTCAAGGTAAGCAACAGCAACACGCCGCGACGTTCTTAACGCAGTGGAGATAAAACAATGCCACAAATGCACGAAAGGAGGCATGGAAGCCTGTGTCTGCAAGGTTCCCACAGCAATGTCAAGCAGGGTGGTGTCACCTGAAGGCAAACTGAGAAGATAAAGATGTGTGCCACAAGCCCTGGGGCAACCACCAGAATAACAGATTTATTTTGTTTTTTGGTGCTAGGGATCAAACCCAGGCTCTTGTGCATGCAAGGCAAGCACTCTACCAACTGAGCTGTCTCCCCAAGCCCCAAAATAATAGTTTTGAATCCAACCCACCACATAAGTTAAAAGAAAAACAATGGGAAAACATACACCAAGTTAAAACATAGGCCATGTTAACAATGGTCAGGAGAAAGTTGCAGTGGCTACATTACTATCAAAGTCGTGATCAGAAGAAAGAGATTTACCAGGGATAAAGCAGATCAGAGATATCATGAAGACACAATAATGCTAAAGGGTTACACATCTAAGAACAGAGCCCCTAAAGCTGTGAAGCAAAGCCCGTAGGACTGACAGGAGAAACACTGTCCCAACCGGAGTGGGAGGGGCCGGCGACCTTGCTCAATTACTGATCACATAAGCAGGGGGACACGGAAGATAATACTACTGGCCAAGTCCATCTGCCTGGTGTCCATGGGACACCCCCCCAGCAACTGCAGAGCACACGCCCTTCTCCAGGGCACATGGGACGTTTACTAAGCCAGCCACACTCTAGACATAAGACGGCTCTTAATAAATTCAAAAGGATTTAAGGCATCCGAAGTATGTCCTCTGGCCACTATGGAACTAAATTAGACATCAATAACAGAAATGGATCTGGAAAATCCTCGAATATTTAGAAATTCAAAAATAATCACTAATTAACCTACAGAGTCTCAAGTCAACCACAACTTCAGGGGCTGGAAAGGAGAGAGGAAGACCCAACATCAGGAGAAGGAAGGAAACAACAGAGACTACAGTGGGAATCCAAGGACAGAAATGCAAAACAGCAAAAAATGATGAAACCTACAGCCAGGGTTTTGAGAGAGCAATGAATTCACAAGCATCTAGCTAGATGAATGAGGAGAGAGAGAAGACACAATTTTGAATATCAGATATTATACCAAAATATTAAATTATCTATCTATCTATCTATCTATCTATCTATCTATCTATATATAAATCAGAGAGGCAATATCTCATAGATTCTATACACACCAAAGATCATAAGGGAACAGCATGAAAAACTTCATGCCAATAAGTTCAACAATCTGGATGAAGTGGACACACTCCTGGAAAAACACAAATTGCCAAACCTCATTCAAGAAGGGGGAGAGCAACTGAACGGCCCTCTAAATGCTGAAGACACTGAATAGGTAGGTAGACAAGCCATCCCACAGAGAACTCCAGACCAGGTGGATTTGTCTGTGACATCTCCATGCACGTAAGAGACAACAAACAGTTCTGCAGATGCCCTTCCATAGAACCCAAGAGGATTCCTCATTCCACTAAGCAAGGATTCATCAAGACCAGAAAAACATATTGCAAGAAAAGAAAACTAGGACCAATATCCTGCAGAAACATGGGAATGCAAGGTTGGCTTAATATTTCAAAAAGATAACTCACCATATTGACAACTAAAAAAGAAACACCTTTTGGTCACCTTACCAAATGCACAAAAAGTCTTTCCCAAATCCAACATCGATTCCTGATAAACGCTCATAGCATACTAGGTATGGAAGGGAATGTCCTCACCCTGAGAAAGGGTGTTTGAGAAAAACTAGCTAACATCACATCCAGTGGTGAAGACTGATGCGTTCCCCCTAAATAGGGAACAAGGAGAGGATGTTTACCACTTCTACTTAACTTTGTGTGCTAGAATTCTAACCCGTGTGATAATGTAAGAAAAATGAGCAGAAGACATCCAGCTGGAGGAGGAGGCAGAGAGTGTAACTATCTATGTAAAAATCCTGAAGAATCTATAAAAAAGCTACTAGAACTAACTAGTGACTTAGCAAGGGTACAGGACACTAGGTCAATGTCTAAATAACAGCTGCATTTCTATGTATATGTATGGAAACAAACTAATACAAATTAAAATGTAGCTCAGTGGTAGAGTGCTTGCCCCGTACATGTGAGGCCCTGGGTCTGATCCTCAGTACCACATAAAAAAATAAGTAAATAAAAATAAAGATATTGTGTCCATCTACAACTAGTATTTTTAAAAAATTAAAATGTAAAAATAAATGCTGTCTACAATGGCACCAACAATATGAAATAGAGATAAATCTGACCAAACAAGTGAAAAGTGTATACTAGAAACTAAAAAATGTGCTGAGAGAAATTGAAGAAGACCTACATAAGTGAGGAATAATCATGTGTGTGGATCTGAAGGCCCAACCTTGGGGAGATGTCAGTTCTCCCCCATAGACTACAGATTCAGGACCTTAATGGGCTTTTTGGGTCAGAAATGACAACTGATTCTAAAATGTGCCTGGAGGGCTGGGCTCTAGCTCAGTGTCAAGGCGCTCGCCTAGCACGTGTGAGGCAGGGGTTGGCCCTTAACACCACGTAGATATAAACAGTACAGGCATGCTGTCCATCTACGACTAAAAAATAAATAAAAAGGTACATGGAAATGAAAAGAATATGGGCTGAACAAAAAATATTTGGATAAGAAGAATAAACTTATTTCTGGCGACTTCAGGGTTTCTTATAAAGCTACAGTCACATGAGGACATTGTAGGATCAGTGTCCAAAGAAACAAACAAACCAGGGAGTTGCATAAAGAGCTCAGAAATATCTGATCAACAATATATAATAAACTGCTTTTCACAAAAGTACAAGGAAATTTAATGGGGACAGTAGACTTTCTAATAAATTGCACTGAACAACTGCAAATGAGAAAGCAAGCAAAGAAGGAAGAAAGGAAGGAGGGAGGGAAGGAAGGAAGGAGGGAAGGAAGGAGGGAGGGAAGGAAAGAGGGAGGAAGGAAGGAAGGAAGGAAGAAAAGGAAGGAGGGAGGGAAGGAAGGAAAAAGGAAGGGAGGAAGGAAGGAGGGAAGGAGGGAGGGAGGGAGGAAGGAAGGAGGGAGGGAAGGAAGGAAGGAAGGAGGGAAGGAAGGAAGGAGAGAAGGAAGGAGGGAGGGAGGGAGGGAAGGAAGGAAGGAAGGAAAGAAAGGAGGGAGGGAGGGAAGGAAGGAGGGAAGGAAGGAAGTAAGGAAGGAGGGAAGGAAGGAAGTAAGGAAAGGAAATGAAGGAATACAGGAAGGAAGGAAGGAGGGAAGGAAGGAAGGAAGGAGGGAAGGAAGGAAGGAAGGAGGGAAGGAAGGAAGGAAGGAAGGAAGGAAGGAGGGAAGGAAGGAGGGAAGGAAGGAAGGAAGGAGGGAAGTAAGGAAGGAAGGAAGGAAGGAAGGAGGGAAGGAAGGAAGGAGGGAAGGAAGGAAGGAGGGAAGGAAGGAAGGAAGGAAGGAGGGAAGGAAGGAGGGAAGGAAGGAAGGAGGGAAGGAAGGAGGAAAGGAGGGAAGGAAGGAAGGAAGGAGGGAAGGAGGGAAGGAGGGAAGGAAGGAAGGAGGGAAGGAAGGAGGGAAGGAAGGGGGAAGGAAGGAAGGAGGGAAGGAAGGGGG